TTAGATAATCCACACTTTTTCCCACTTTCTTTCGCTCCTTCACTCCATTTTTTTGGGCGCGGTGTGATTACCATCCTCAATCCCTAGATTCAATGATATCTCTGTACGTATACCTCCCTTAAAACTGAATTAATTTTAGACTGTGGGCCTATATTTTATCCCATCCTAAATTCCTAAATTTTAAGACAAAGAATACAAAGCATCTCACCATTCTCACCTGCTGCTCGAGTTTATCGTTGAATCGTTAAAGCGTCTCGTAGCTATAAATTTCCTTCCCCAATAAAATCGTTTACCAAAAATGTTGGAGGCCACGTTTACAATTAAAGAATTAAGGTCTTTTTGACCTTACCTTTAGGAAGAGTCCTATTCAACCCATCTGATGGACAAGCAAGCGAAGGGGAGAAATATAAATGTGCTCGGCAAGAACCGCATACCGTTAATGAAGGGCTGAATGCAAATACGTGGTTTCTCGTCGGCGAGGCACGGCAGGCAGGGTAAGAAGGGAGGATGAAGGGGATAGGAGGCGGGGGTAAGAGGTTAGAATGTCTCAGTAATAAAAACATTCCGGGCTGTAATATCGGTGCCAATTAAAAAGTTTGGACACTGGTGCCATGGTGCCGGTTGCGAGGAAAAACGAGATCCCGTGGGAATGCGACGTGAAATTTCACTGCACTCCATAATATGTTCAATAATTGGATTTCATTATGCAATTTCTGGCTTATCCGTAAAAACACTTACTTATGTGCATGGGGAAACTAATGGTGCGTACGCTATTTCTAAACTGAGCGAGAAATTGAAAATTCCTAATTTCAAAATTAGTCCATTTTTTCTTCTCTTTCCTAATGTCGTGTGAAATAATGTGGTGTGCACAAAATAACACGTACAACTCAATACTGAAAACAAATTTTCTTTCGATGTTTTTCTTAGAATGAATTCATATTGCATCAAATGAAATTCCTTAAGACGACTGCGACTATTCACTGATTGGTTTCTGTTCGAAGCAATGGGGATTCTGTTGGAAATGTATCTGGCTCTTTGGCGGGAATAGTTCAATAGAAGTTCTCTTCATTTCAACAGAAATACAACTCCGTGAAAAAAGACAATTATCATTGAAGTTTAAGCTAACTTTGCATGCAGTATTAAAAATCTAGTAGTAAAATCCGAGGTGCATTTCACTCCAAAACTTCACCCTTTTATGCATGCCACAGGATGCAGACTCAATTGGACTGCTTTTTGCAATTTGGAACCATAAATTCTGGCTCCTCTGAAAAAATACTTATGTGCATAGGGAAACTAATGACACATCCGTTGTTTTCAACCGTTGTTTCAAAAATTTATAGTTCCGAATTGCAAAATGTAGTCCAATTAACGGAGCGGGTTTTCCTCCTCATTCATTAATAATTTCTTGGGGGTAAAATAACCTCATAGTGATAAGAAATACACTCCGAAATTCAATCCGAGATTTCTAACGGTGCAATAATCATTTCGAGCCAGAGTGGCAAAATTTCATGAAAAATAAAATCTTAAAATTTCACGTGAAATATTTCATGAAATTTCAGAAATTTATGAAAGATATCGAAAAATACCGGTTCTTTTTCATGTTTCGTATAATGTAAAAATTGTGACTCTCTTCCATTTTTGTGTGTTTGAGTGCGGGTTGCGTACTCTAGCCCCTGAAAAATATGGAACATTTCACAGCCTCGTGAAATTTCATGAAATATTTCAATGAATTTCCAATCTTTCATTTAATTCTTACGTTTCGTGCCACCCTGTTTCGAGCATAAAACAAAAGTTATAAAGTTGCAAAAAGTTGTATTTTGTAAGTTACAAATTGCAAAAAGTATAAGTACACCAATTGTACTGCATTTTGCAATGAGGAACTGTTACCGCTGGTTCTCCGTAAAAGTTCCCTGCCTAGCATAGGTCATCATGAATCCGTCATGATTTATTTCTTTGGAGACATGAAGAGGTGACGGGTATCGTCTTGATCGACAAGAATCGATCAGGAGATGAAAGCGTGAATCGATTGACAGCTGTTTGATCGAATTTACGCTGGTCGGTTGGTCTATTTACAATTTCCGATCGATTAATGCCGATTAAAACTGTGTCCACGATGGCAGCCAATGCCACCAATGCAGGTGAATAAACCACAGTCTGGCGCCGGAAAGTCAAAAGTCAAGGGATGGAAGTTGACATATCTTCCCACCGTGAAGTTTTCGCCGCTGCTCTCGACATCTTGAACTGTACACCTCCTCCCCCTCACCCCTCTCTCCCATAGTTCAAGATGCCTTCTGCCTGTCAGTCGCCTAAAACAATTAACCTGACCAATTAATCCATTTGTCATCCGCTCGATATGTGTCTTCGATTGTGAACCATTTTCGCCCTCCAGATGACATCTGAAAAATGTTCTCTGCCTTCTCATTTTTCGTCTCAATGCAGTTGCCAGATAGTTATCATAGTTCATGTTTTGCAGAAAGAACTCATACCTGGCTCTAGCCGTATTAACGGCTGCTCCGTCCCTTCAGAAGGCCGCTTCGTAGTAAAAAAATACTGGGAGGGGAGTAAAAAAGAGCCACGCTTTTCGCATTTTGAAATGAAATGGCGGTAAGAGGTTCTAATTGGGCGTAAAGAGGGAATGTGCAATAAGGGGATTTTTTCCCGGAGGGAAACAAGTGCTGGAGATTCGCTTTTGAAGAAACTGCAGTTGATAAAGCGAGAATTGACATTTTTTTACCCTGAAAAACAGTTACGGGTTATTTAAACATACCGTCCGCTCCGGGCTCACACGCCGAAAGTTTCGGGTGCTGGAGCCGTGGCTTCGATTGCTCCGGGTGCTAAGACCGGAACGCGGACGGTATGTTTACATATCCCGTAAATATAACTTCCACGGCCGGATTTTTTTTTTTTTTTTTTTTTTTTTTTTTTTTTTTTCAGTATAATTCGAGCAATTTACTACCATGTTTTCCAAAATGTCATTTCCAACAGTAAGAAGGCTGTTATATCTACAAAGTTAGAGGGAATTTTGGTCAGACATCGGCTTCAGGTTCTACCTCTTACATGGTATGTGTAGGTTATAAACGGAAAAGTTCGCTAATTCTCGAAATATTCCAATTTTAGATTTTGTTTTTCCCTAAAATATTGACACCCAACTGAGCAACTGAGCAACTGAGCAACTGAGCAACTGAGCAACTGAGGGAAAAAGCACAACTGTCATTCCAGAAGTAGAATAAAAAAAAATTGCCATGGTCGGACGTTTGCTGTAGGTTCAACTTTTCGACAAAGGAATCCTCAAGCAAGAAATTGAAGTTTTGTGAAATTATATATTTTTTTTAGGTATATAGCTTCCTCCACCGTTAGTATTCAGCAGAATAAATGAATTACCTGTTACCTTACTGAGTAAAAATACCTAAAAAACTCAAGTTTTGATTTCTGTGGACTGGGGTTTCTTTTCTCACGGGCGGTCACATTCAGGAAAAAGTCAAAACTCGATTACGGCTCATATTTCTTTGAGAGCCATGATCAAACATAATTTAAATTACCAAAATTTAGATTAATAACAACAATCATTCAATGAAAAGTCCAGAATGAAACCATAATTTCACTACCGAGGCCAAACACTGGGCGAGTTTCAAAAAGCGCTCTTTCAGCGTCATTGCCGTCACTTTGAATTTTCCCGCTATAATTCGAATGAAGGCGGGAGCAGCACAAGTAAATTTGGCGGGAATGCCTCCAATTGGACGTATTTGTCTCTGGTTTGTTTATAAACAAGTGCCGGCCGAAAAGTGAGGTTAATATTTCTGCATTTTCTGCTCTTCGCTCCTGATATGGGTCACTTCTTTCTCGTTTATAAATTGGATTGAGTCAAATAATTGGGAAGTCAGTGGTCAATTCAATTAATAATTTCTACTGTTTCTTGTGCTGTAAGTTTTTTCAAAGAGAATCTCGCAGTTTCACGGTCTAGGTACTCTTTTGGATGCAATGAAGATCACGCAGGAGGTAGTCAGCCAATACTTAGACTGTTTCTGTTTTGTATTTTTTTGTGGAATTTTGCCTTTCAATTGATAATTTAAACACGATTTTTACCATCCTTTAAGGTGACATCTGTAGGCTCAGAGGTGTTGAATATAAGTTGCGGATAAAATTTAGTAGTTGGACCGTCGGACAAACTACAGCTAATTAGTCCCTAACATTACCTAGCCTAACTGGAGGACCGTTTATATAATAAACCAAGGTCGATAGACCTAGTTCAGTCTCTCAACAAGATGTTCTTTGGAATTTTCTGATCTGGTGATGAATTCCCACGATTTGCTGTTTCACTACTTCCCGAATATTTCCTTGATTGTCGCTTCTCCGAGGCAAAGTTTCCCCGATCCTCCCCATTGGCATTAGACCAAGGTAATCGGACTGAGCGAATAGCAGAGTGGGTCAAGCAAATCGGGGAAATCAGTTGGAAAATCGGACAGCCCTCCTCCCGTTTTGCAAAGATCATCAGACTTATTTTTCCTAACTGACTGACTTAAGTCCATCAACCTTGTACTGAACTATAGCCTTAAGTTGCAATCTTTCTCATCAGTATAGTCTGTTGCATGAAAATGCTACAAAGAGAGTCAAGGATCAGCTCTCAACTTCTTGATCCACAGCAATAAATTGTCAGTAGGTAGATATAATAAGACTCAATTCTCCAGGATTTTTCGAAATCACTCGTCACTCAATTTGGCGATCAAAAATTGGCACCCAAATCCAACCCGTAAGCTAAGCCCATATCATAACATATTCCCCAATTGAGCTAGTCCAATCACAAGGATTTGAGAGTGCAAGGATATGTCGGTCAACTTCTAACATGAGCACGTACATGGTACCTTCTCAGGCATTAACTGTTTGAACACTGAACTTGTTTCATTCACATTATCTTCAATTTAATAATATTAAAATTTGCAGCTTCTGTCAGTTTTGTTACAAATGACTCACTGCCTTTTGGTATCATTGTCTATCTGTTTCAGAGATCTCAGGTTCAATAGAATAAGGGAAATAGTTCCTGGATCTTTATCTCATCTTAAAAACTTGAATACATTGTAAGTAAATTTGTAGTACTTTTAATACCTGCTTACCTAGCTTTTTTCTATTCTATAATGTATGTTTCATAAACTGAGAGCATTCAGTTTTGTCAGGTGTGAACGTTGCTTACGAGAATGGAGAGGCCGTAACTAGTCAGTTTTGTGACGTCGAGCTAGTAGATATTTACCGAAAACAACAAGCATCTCCGGGTGGCAAGGAACAATCAGAGTGGCTCTCGATCGGCCGAAGTTGCGCGAGCGGCCCGTTTGAATCTGAGTGGAGTAACGATTTTTGGTATTAAGCTTTCATTTCCTCGATTATTAGACAATGTCACATATGGGTTAGTTAGTTTTCTTTAGTGAAATTTCATCCTCTTTCGGAAAGGTTTGTACGAATTATTGCATCAGATCAACCCCCGAGAAGATATCGGCATGAAAGAAACACGCGTCAGGCGTTCTCCCATGAGAACACATGTTAAACCACATGGCCTCTCCATTCTCGTAGGCAACGGTGTGAACTTAGCACCTTAGACCTCATATGAGGCAAGCACCTGTCATTCTTGTCAGCATGAGTATTTAATTAAGCAACATGAACATCTTTGAAAATTCTATAATTCATTTGGAACTGTCCAATATCTAATCAATTTTCAGTTGTGTTAGTTATAAATAATAAGATTACTTTAAACTTTCTTGTTCGAGCCATGTTTCTGATACCTAGGAACAATATTTTTCTTTCTTTTTGATTATGACTATTATTTTATTTCCAGACTTCTTAATAACAATCAATTAAGTCAGTTGGATAAAGGTGTCTTTGATGGTTTGTCTCAACTCAAATACCTGTAAGCATTATACAAGTACTATTTATAATTTCTAGCTGCAATTTTTTGTACAAGTCAGGTGAGATTGCAAAGATGCAAACTGCTCAATGTGATTAGTTAGAGTCTAATGAGTGAGGAGTCTGAACTTTTACTCAGTTACTTCATCAAGACGCACACTATGTATAATTTATCAATGATACATTGTTACCTAATCTAATTTCATCGTACAAAGCCTCTGTTGAATGAAAAATGTATGTTACGGTTTTGAAAAAAAGTAGTTGTTTCAAAGAACAAATTGGTTTCAAAAGTTCAGTGTTCCCAAGTGTTCAACATTCACAGATAATTATCAGTTACATCACTGAGAATTACAACCTGGAATTATGATCCATTGACAATAAAGACAAGAAAAATTTATTTAACCTCAGTAACAGCAAAATGGAACATCTCTTAATAAACCAGAAATCAATTTCTTGATTAGTTCTGAAATCACATTCATACTTGCAAACAACCTAAAATTTTATCGTCTTTTCTAGGTTTCTGTACAAAAATAGAATACAATCTGTTCACCCCGAAGCATTCAAGGACCTCTCAAATTTGGAATTCTTGTAAGCTCATTGATTATTTTCTCTCCGTTCTTTAGTGCCTACAGTGTCATGTCACTCATATCTTTCAGTATAATTTGCAATCTTTCTCTTATTTTCATTTACCAGGGTGTCTCCAAGTCCGGAATTTCCGGAAAGTCTGGAAATGGTACTGATTTCATTGTGCAACAAAAAAAAATGACAAAAATGTCTCCCGGACGAGATAAGGTGATCCTTATGTATTTTGAGGCGCTGAATTCGAATATTACCTCCGTTTTTTTCCATCACCCTCCAGTTTTCCGGAAAAGTCGATTTTACCCGGAAAAATTGCCATTTTTGGGCATTTTTGGTGTTTTTGCGACTATTACCCCCTGCAGAATGTAGGTAAAATTTTTCTCCGGTACGAGAAACGGCCAATCCGATGTATTTTGAGCCGCTGAGTCCGAAAATGACCTCCGTTTTTTCCCATCACCCTCCAGTTTTTTGGAAAAGCGACTTTTCCCCCGGAAAATGAGCAAATTTGAAGTATATTTGTCATGCATGCAATTTATTTGTATAAATTTTTCTGGACCCGTGGTACAGTCATTCTTATGTATTTTAAGCCGCTGAATCCGAATATGACCTCGGTTTTTTTCCATCATCCCCCAATTTTCCGGTAAAGTCGATTTTTCCGAGCCTAAATTTGTGTATAAGCTTTCCCGGACTCAAAGGGGATCAAAACTATATTTTAAACGTGTCCGCGACGTGCGATACATCGATTCTTATGTATTTTGACTAGCTGAACCCGTATGTGATCTTGGATTTTTCAGATCACCCACGATTTTCCCGGAAAATCGATTTTCCTTGGAAAACTACATTTTTCGGTGTTTTTTGGACGATTTTCCTGTTGTGAGGAGTCTAAGAAATTTTCTGAGATCCTCTGTAGGTCTCTTCTGCTATATTAAGAGCAGCTGAATCCAAATTTGACCTCTATTCATCTCTGACAACCCTTCATTTTCTAGAAAGTAGGATTTTTCAGGGAAAAAAGCTTTTCCAAACCGTCCCCACCTCCAGGGAAATTTGAAAATTTTTCCGCATGTGTGATACATCGATTCTTATGTAATTTGAGCTAGAAAACCCGAATATGACCTCAGAAATTCGTTATCACCCACCATTTTTACGAAAAACTCGATCTTTTGAGAAAAATGGGTAATTTTGATCATTTACGGTATTTTTGCGACTGTTGCTCCTTGTGGAATGTGCGTATGATTGTTCTTAGCTACAAATTAGATTGTGCATCAGGTATTGTGAGTCCCTGAGTACGGAAATGGCCTCTATTTTTTTCTATGAGCCCTCAGTTTTGTAAAAAAGACACTTTTTGCCGGGAGACTGAGTGAAATTGACTTATTTTAGTCTGGCATACAATTCTTTATTTAAATAATTATCCTGGATGCGTGAAGGGGAAATTCCTATGTAGTTTCAGATGCTAAATCAGAATATGACCTCAAATTTTTCCCATCACCCTCCATTTAGTCGGAAAAGTAGATTTTTCCCGGAGAACGTGTTTTTTAGTATATTTCCGAAATTTTCCCAGAAAATCGAGTTTTTCGTAAAAATGGTGGGTGATGACGAATTTCTGAGGTCATATTCGGGTTTTCTAGCTCAAATTACATGAGAATCGATGTATCACACGTGCGGAAAAATTTTCAAATTTCCCTGGAGGTGGGGACGGTTCGGAAAAGCTTTTTTCCCTGAAAAATCCTACTTTCTAGAAAACGGGGGGTTGTCAGGGATGAATAGAGGTCAAATTTGGATTCAGCTGCTCTTAATATAGCAGAAGAGACCTACAGAGGATCTCAGAAAATTTCTTAGACTCCTCACAACAGGAAAATCGTCCAAAAAACACTGAAAAATGTAGTTTTCCAAGGAAAATCGATTTTCCGGGAAAATCGTGGGTGATCTGAAAAATCCAAGATCATATTTGGATTCAGCTAGTCAAAATACATAAGAATCGATGTATCGCACGTCGCGGACACGTTTAAAATATAGTTTTGATCCCCTTTGAGTCCGGGAAAGCTTATACACAAATTTAGGCTCGGAAAAATCGACTTTACCGGAAAATTGGGGGATGATGGAAAAAAACCGAGGTCATATTCGGATTCAGCGGCTTAAAATACATAAGAATGACTGTACCACGGGTCCAGAAAAATGTATACAAATAAATTGCATGCATGACAAATATACTTCAAATTTGCTCATTTTCCGGAGGAAAAGTCGCTTTTCCAAAAAACTGGAGGGTGATGGGAAAAAACGGAGGTCATTTTCGGACTCAGCGGCTCAAAATACATCGGATTGGCCGTTTCTCGTACTGGAGAAAAATTTTACCTACATTCTGCAGGGGGTAATAGTCGCAAAAACACCAAAAATGCCCAAAAATGGCCATTTTCCCGGGTAAAATCGACTTTTCCGGAATACTGGAGGGTGATGGAAAAAAACGGAGGTCATATTCGGATTCAGCACCTCAAAATACATAAGGATCACCTTATCTCGTCCGGGAGACATTTTTGTCATTTTTTTTTGTTGCACAGTGTTTTTTAAGGGCAATCCGGAAGCACTGAAAAAGTGCGGAAATTCCGCTAGATGTTCTGGAATTTTTTTATCATTTTTGTCACAACTTGAGCGAGAAAGTCAAATTTTTTAAATTTTTTGAATTTCGTCAAATGAGAGTACTGAAAAAGTACTGAATTTTACCGTTGAGGAGGTACCGAATTTCTTGGAAATGTACTGAAAAAGTACTGTAAAAGTACTGATTTTTGGTCAGCCTGTTTTGGTAGACACCCTCTTTGCATTGATAAGATTTTTATTTTTGGGTTTTGTTTTGAAGATTTTTGTTGATTTTCCAATTGTCAAGGGAAATACATATGGGTTCAGTCTCATAACAAGACGAGGGACCCAGCTTTTTGGGAAGTTGAAATTGAAAGGAAGCTTTAATCTGATTAAATTAAAATTAATTAAATAAGCACCCAGGAAGTTTTCTATGAGAATTAAATTAAAATAAATTAATTAAGCACCTGATAAGTTTTTCATGAGAACTTTTCGGTAAAGGATCAACTAGAAAATATTATTCCGCCCAAGAGATATGCTCTGTGATACATAATTATGAAGCATTTATCAAAATACAAAGGGTAAAAACTGCTTTCAGCACAGCTACTCGGGTGCATACAGACACTTTGATGGATCGCTGCCTGCCCTCCACATAACTTTGCCGGGTGATGGACTATATTTTATGACTATAGCGTTTTTTGATGGAATCTGATGCTGGCAGTGTATTTCTGATGAAAGGAGGCAGTAATCCTTAGGAGTGGCAATTTTTAATACATATATAATACTTGTAGCGTCTTTATTTTATATCGCCAAGAACATTTTTCTGTGGAGATATGATCTGTAAACATTTTATGAAATGTAAATACTATCATAGGCATATGCAAAAACACTTTTATAACAATACCATTGCCTGTTTTGAAATCTAATGAATGGTGTTTCCTTTTTAGATACTTGCATTACAATAGAATTGAGTCGCTGCCCAAGGATGTTTTCTCTGATCTTGTCAAACTTGAACGGCTGTAAGTTTATATTGAATTGAAGTATTTTCCTCTCTATGGACTATCATGTTGATGGTAAAAACGGCGAACTAACTTATTTGGGTTTTTTCAAAATTTCAGTTCTTAGGCATTTCATTTCAGTGGCGTGGTGTGCTTTGCGATTTATTGATTGATCAGCCATTTAAACCTATGGAAAAATATCGATAAATAGGGTTTTTGCATTTAATACCTTAATAACAGATTATTTACCACAGCTTCAAAAGGGGAAATATCGATAGATTGCAAAGCCCGCCAAGCCACTGCTTCATTTTTTGAGGGTGGTTTCTTTTGATTATTCCTAAAATTTTTAGAGAATCTTTAAGATTGAAAAAAATCCTTTGTTAAAGTTATTTGCATGGCAGGAAGTCTACAACATCACAAACCAAATTACAAAATCCGTTTTGTAACCATCAATAAATTCAAAGTTTTCTGCTTTTTACAGTATGAAGAAATATTAAAACCCATCTGTTTGAAGGAGTATCAGGAAAGATTTGTTAGTAAGCAAAATTCTTAGATGCATTAGCATGAAGACTTTACTCCAAAATGCAGCGGCAAAAATTGGTGGAAGAGAAAAGTAATGATGTGGAAAATTTAACCTTGAGTCTTAATCATTGAAGTAACCTGCCCTTTATATTTCCAAAGAGAATGCATTTTAGGAGCAAAATTAGACTTTAAATGCCGAGAAGAGGCCTTTTGGTTGTACCTTCACCTCGTAGTTATAGTTTTAATTACACCTTGAAATATTTACCACTTAGTTTGTAATCTCTTGCTGTGTTTTAGAGATTTTTATTTGTGGAGAAAGCATAATCATTCAATTTAATTTCTGATTTGCAGTTTCTTACAGAATAACAAAATCCATCACTTGTCTTCAGAAGCTTTCAAGAATTTGAATGTATTACAAAGACTGTAAGTAATTTTTTTTTTTCGAATTCCTCCTTTTTTATTCACCTAGAATAAAGACTCTTGAAAACTGTAAAGAATGAGAGTAAATGCCTCTCCTGCTTTTTATCTAATCAAATTTCAGCAGAGAAAAAGACTTTCGAAGTCACCAAAAATCCAACCTAATTGCAAACAGAAAAATATTTTGTCAACAGGTTTCAGGATGTTACAGGGAGAATGACTGTTGTGTGTCTTCTCAATTGCGTTTGTCTCTTTACTTTTAGATTGCAACAATGACACAATAATAACCTTAACCATGCTCTTTTGTAGGTTTTTCAAAAGAAAGTATTTGTTCATTATTTGAATTGTACAGTTGTCATACTGTATTGGACTGAAGGTGGTCAAGGCCGGTTCATCTCACATAATGAGCTTTACGCCAATGAGGCTCGTTCTTTCTATACATAATCTCAACTGCTAGCCTCTTATTTTAATCAAAAAAGCAGCCTCAAAGGCTCAAAAACACAGTTTTTGCTGCAACGCACTTCAGACCCTTTTGCAAGATTATTCCCTGAATCTTACAACATCTCCATTTGGACTTCTTGGCCCTCCAAGTTTTAATTTTTATCTCGGACCCCCAATTTGCAATACTGTATCATAAAGTCTAGGAAAAGTTAGGATTTCATGCTGTTTTACCAACTGAATTTTTTTTTTTTTTCAGGAGGCTTGATGGAAATGCTTTAGTCTGCGACTGTGAGATCATGTGGCTGTCTCACCTATTGCGAGAGAAACATATGCAGTCAGTTCATTTTGCTGCAACCTGTGACCAGCCAGAAGTGATGCACGGGAAAAATTTATCAAGCATCACTGAAGATGACATGCATTGCAGTAGGCATTGTTTTTATTCCTTTAACTCCTTTGTGTCAGGTTTCTATTAAATTCAATGTTCTGAAGTGGTTTTACAAAGGTATATTTTCAAGCAAAGTTCAAAGGCTATAGCCATAACCAAATCTCAACTTGACAGCCGCTTCCATTCTCAAATTATAAAAATACCCGGTATTTCTTATGGTCATTGTACATATTTTAATGAAGCACAACATTAAAATAAATCTGGCAACATCTGATATAGATAGGCTGATTATCCATCTAGCCAGTGCTTACAAGTTTTCATTTTAAAAACCTTATCAACTAGTCATCAATGCATATTATCGCACTTTCATTCTCTTTATCTAACCATAAAACTCTGCTCTCAATTTCACAGAGCCACCAGAACTGATCAAAGAACCACATGATGTAGAAGTCTCCTTTGGGGGATCTGCATTCTTTACATGCAAAGCTGAGGGAGATCCTAAACCAGAAATTGTGTGGATGCGCGACAGGTGTGGACCGAATAATTTGAAGTTATAACAATTAAAACAATCATATAACGCAAAACGTGGTACTTCACTTTTATAATTAATCTTTATTTTTAAATGCACCAGTATTCATGAAAAATCAAAATACTTCAGCCAGATAACTTTTAGCACCTGTAAAACATAAAACATTCCACAGATTTTCCGCTAAAACTCTTGAAATCAAGATAACTAGTTTATACAAACTGGGTATAATCAAGGAGGAAGTATGTAAAAGTTCGGCTCTTAAGGCAAGCATGTCAGCCGCGCAAGTTGACAACTGAAGGTGGCGTGGCAATATGTAAGATGAAATCCATTTGAGTTTTCTTGTCAGATATAGGGTCGACTGCCGTAACTACCTTGTGTGACAGATTTGCATCTTTACAAGAAGACATGTAGAGTCAACAGGAGATCAAATTCTAAAAGAAAGACTGAAATTCAATATCCTTACAGTTTTCCTCCATGAAAGTAACTCAGTTTTTGCAAAGTATTTTTTATCTTTAAGAATATTGAAAATGATGAATAATGAATTACAAACTCTTGTAATCTCATAGGTCACATCCTGTCTCAATTGTCTCTTTAATGTATCACAGTCGAAAACAAGTGACCAAAGAAAGTAAATGCTAAGTTGGTGGGATGTTTTTCATTTCTTATACTGAATATAATTTTCCATCCAAAACTTCTTTTGTGTGTATTAAATTGGGAAAAAGAAATGATAAATTAGAATTTTCTTTAAAAATTTTCAAAAGTCAGTTTTGAAATTTCTCATTCGACTAATGAGTTTGTTTTCCTACTCTCCTTTTGCATTTGTTTCTTACTAATGCTCTCATCAAACTCTTTAAATTTTCCTAATATTTTCTTTGCTAATTTAAAATGTGTTCTTCACGTCTACATTAGTTAGTAGTACGTCTACATACGTTCTTTCCCGAATTTTCTGGGAGAGAATCCAATGAGCAAGCCCTATATTTTTTGTCTGTTTCGTTTTTTACACTTTTTTGTTGTTGTTTTGTTTTGTAGCAATGAAATCGATGCAGCAAATCCTCACTACACTGTTACAAGTGATGGTCTCCTGATCGAACCTATGTCTACATCTGATCTGGGAGTGTACGAGTGCATGGCTAAAAATCTAATGGGAGAAATTAAATCAAAAGCAGCTAGGGTTATCACTAAAAAAGATATTCACAATGGTAAGCCTATATGAAACTGGGAGTTAAGTGGCTTCTAGTTTTCTAAACAATGAATTTTTTTTTTTCAAACCTTCTAACTCTTTAACTGCAATTCTACAGTAAAGTTTTACTCAATACTGCAATACTTTTCAAATATATGCATCAAGCAATGTAAACTTTCAGAAATTCTATTCTTAGCTCGCCAAAAGGATAATTTAATGACTGCCGTCTCAGAAAGTTTATGGGCACTACTGTTCTAACTTGATTCATCCAAAGAGTTGGGCCTTGGCACCCAAAAAAAAATACTGCTTATCAATCAAGGGACTTAAGGTTAAAATTTTAGTTTTCTCAATTCTTTCTTCTTTTTATCCTGTAGAGAAGCTGCATCTTTTGCGTGCACCTATCGACACGAACATCAAAGAAGGTGAATCTTTCACTCTTGATTGTTTGACATCCAGCAAACTAAAGGCAACTGTGCAGTGGATTAAAGATGGTCTACCAATTTCGGAAAATTCAAATACTCATGTAAGTAAGTTTTATGTTTTCAGCTCACTGCTTCAGTTTAGTTAGGTTTGGACTTTGCCATGATATTTTTATGATAGCATTTCCTCAGAGATGCAAATAAATTAGGGTTTGTGAGGTTTTTTGCAAGGAATCAAACGATCTGTAACTTAAAAATAATTTACAGCAGGTCGATCAATGATTTTTTCGCATGAAAAAATGTATCTTATAGTTTATTTCTTATGCTATTGTCAAACTCTGAGTGGAAGAACTGCATATCCCATATTTTATCGATGGAATTTTCAATCGATGAAGCACTAATTTAAAATCGTTTCCTTTTTTCAGATTGATCAAGAAAGTGGCTCTTTGACCATTGAAAATTCTCGAAGGAGTGACAGCGGTACCTATACATGTGTTTCAATCAACTCTCATGACAGACTCGAATCAAAAGCTGTAGTCACGGTCAACAGTTAGTATTGAAGGCATAGTAATATTTAGACTCTTATTTTAAGTTTTTCATATTTTTGGTGTAGGCTTGGAGAGGGTATGGTATTCCATAGAACCTGAGAACATTAATGGTGAAACTGCAAAAATGCATATCTTGGTTGTGTTGTTTCAAACTCTTTGTTACTATTTCTTTTTTTGAAAGGAGACCGAACTGATATTGTGGCTTGACTCATACATATTATTTTTTTTTTAGATATTATAGTATCATTTACATAGACAAGAAAAATCATTGAAGTTATCAAAAAATTACATATAGTAGCGTACCGTGTAGAAAAGTAAGTATGACAGGAAGTCTGCAATGCTGCAAACTGAGATACCTACACATTTCTCCAGTTTTATAATCAATATGTGAGTGTGAGTAAACAATTAAAGAATTATTTTACCTGTGGAATGGAAATTATTCCGCAAACATATTAATAAGCCAAGAGGAAACAAAACACTTTCAGTTTCCATTATCGTTTTAAATTATACACAGTCCAATCTCATCCCAATGACTTGAATTTGTTTTTAATTGTCATACTTCTGCTTTCAGCTCCTCCATTTTTGATCTCTTCCTCACCCAGTTCAAGGCTGAAAAGAGGGGAGACTGCAGAGCTACATTGTTCTGTTGATGGGTGGCCCACACCAACCGTCACATGGTATCACAATGGTCAGTCTCTTGTTGCTGGACCTCGCATAACATTTTTAGAGGAAGGTAATTTCTTGAGTTTTTACTATTGCTCATTAATGTTCCATTGTGACTCCTATTTGAGCCTGTTAGTGCAGCAAGAGAACATGTTTATCGCCATGATGTAAGAGTAATCAGTTTGCTTAACTGAATTATTTTCTTTCTTACTTTATTGAATAGCTCATGGAAATGTCCTACATAAGTCAATAAAATTAACTTAAAATGTAAGTGTAAGAAAATCTAAATATTGTTTTATTTATCTTTGTAACTTTATAAACCTGTAAAGGTAGAATAAAGTATAATTTCCATTCTCTCAAATTCTCTACTCGAAAGAATAGCATTGACTAGATGTAGTTAGAAAATGAAAAATCAATAATTTTGCCCAGACGTAAGGAAGAATAACTATCTCTTTCATAAAGAATTTTGTAGAAATTAAGAGATAAAACCTGGGTTTTCATCAGAAAATGTCTCTTTAGTTCTGGAATATAAAAGATGAGGAAAATTTAAGAATTCTGCTCAAGATTCTCTAATCCCATGTACCTCTCTTTTGTAGGATCCAAGTTTATTTTACTCATTGAGAGTCTTGTGGAGTCTGATGCGGGGATGTACACTTGCCTGGCACAGAACCAGTACGGCTCTCTAGAAACGAACAAAGAACTGAGAATCATCAATCATGGTCCAAGACCTCCTCGCATTATTGTTCGACCATTTAACTTAGATGCACCTCAGTTTTCCAGTATCGAACTTCCGTGTAAAGCAGAAGGCGAGCCCCACCCAACAGTGCTGTGGACTAGGAATAATGCTCCGGTCATCCAAGATCCGTTTCACAGGTAGCATCTGATAGATTTTTGTAAATTTGAATTTGGGAAAATCATTGTCCCATTTAAAAAAAAAACTGTTGTTGATTAAACATCTCATTCAGTTAAATTTTGGAACAACGGTGAAAAGCTGATACATTATGGCTAGGGGGTCCTCCAGAACAAATGTTCCGCATTTTAGTATAGAGAGTGAAAACTTATTTGTTATCTTCATCATTTAATAACTGACACATTTAACTGTATTGCCCAGAATTGTCGTAAAATTGCATCTCACACTGTGCCAGCCATAACTCGTATTCCCTTTGTCTTCTGCCTTAAAATAACTCAACCCTTTCTGTTTTTACAGGATCTCTGGAAGTGGCAGCCTGCGTATTTATAATGTCTCTGCTGAGGATGCTGGGAATTATGAGTGTGAAGCATCTAATGTACATGGAAAAGATACTGCATCTTGTTCTGTCACAGTCAGCGGTGAGTCTTTAACTGTCAGTAAGCACTACATCTTAGAAGAGAGGTAGTAGAAGAGGTGGTGTTCTTTGAACACAGACAGATGAGAGACATTAGACGTTTTCTGTCATCAGTTTAATACTTTATTTAATGTTAACTCGTCAATTAATGAAGTTTCTAATACAAACTCCAGAATCTTAATAATTGATTAACCAGTCACAAGACTTTGATTTGCAGGATGATAGGTGTTTAAAAATAATAGGGACGAATCTGATGTGAAGGAAATTAATTAGCTACTGGCTGTTTTAGGGGTCGAAAGTGCTTCAACAAATGATGGACTGATCCAGCAAGCATTTAACGAGGCATCAGCAGATGTAGACCGTGCGGTCTCTTCAACTTTAAACCAGTTATTCTCTGATTCACCCTCTGCAAGATCTCCTGATATTCTAATGAGGCTCACTCGATTTCCTGACGCAAATGCAAGAAGTATAGCACGGGCTGCAGATGTTTTTGAACGAACACTCTTTTACATCAGAAAACATGTAACCAGTGGCAGAAAAATGAACATCACGGACGGTAATACATCACCTTTTTTTTCTTTTTTTTTTCAAAGGGCTTCTCTTTATCCTTGTAGTTTTTGTCGCAAGCACTTACCACAAACAATGCATCTTAAAAGATAAAATAAAACTTTCTAATTTCCTTGTAACATTTGTCATTTGAGAGAAAAAACATTTCAAAATTTGGCAGAAATAGAAGACTGTGAAACCAATATAAGCGGTTTTCTCGTTTGAGCGTACAGTAAGACCTCGATTTATTAGATTTCATGGGGCTGGAGGCCAAATCCGTTAAATTGCGCTAGTCGGTCCTACGGGGATTGCTACGGGGACTGGAGGATCGATCTGATAAATCGCGGAATCTGTTAAATCGCGATCCAATAATTAGAGGTCTTACTGTACATAATATAAGCGATTTCTACTGTACGAAAAGATAAAATTAGAAAACTCAGGCTTAAAAAAGAATGTAAAAAGTCAGCTTGATATAGGACATTACTGTTACTAAGGCTGTATTGTGACTGAAGAAGGAACTGGATCCCCAAAAAGTCAGCTTTTTACATCCATTTTTGGATTCGACCATTCCCTTTTTTCATTCTCTTTTATTGACTTGGTAAAAGAAACTTGCAATTTTTTAACACATTTGTTCAGTTAATTTGGGATTTTTTTCTCTTTTGTCTTGGTCTAGGCTCTCTGATATAAGTATAGGTTCCTCTCTAAAGAGAGATGATAAAGTAAAAATTGAAATCACAACAAAGTAAAACATCTACTATCATTTGAAAAAGAGTTTTTAAAATTATGAAACTTATTTCGTCAAGTAAGATAGTCCAAATTGTCTCCTAGTTCATCATTTTCCACACAGAAACATGTATCCACATTTCAACGCTGCAAGCTTTCCACTCGCTAATTGTGATTTTTTAATGGAACTGACAGGCATTTCTAACTGAAAACACTGATTTTCCTTTTGACTACACCAAAAAATCAACCAAATTTTGAACAAAAATTGCACAGTCATGTATGTGTGAAAAATTGAAATGTTTGAATTAATTTCTTTATATTAGGATGAAATTATGTTCCTTTGTCGATAATTAGCATTTTTCTAGCACTTTTGAGTCATTTTTCAATTTTTAAATATTCAGCTTCTTGACTTGAATCAGAATCGCCTTTTCAGATATAATTAGTCCTCTGTGTTTTGTTTCTTCTCCCTCCAGACTTCAAGTATGAAGATGTTTTATCTCCTGTTCAGGTTGAGCTGATTGCCAACATGTCTGGCTGCATGACACACCAGGTAAAAACCAATTGCTCTGATCTATGTTTCCACACTAAGTACAGAACCATCGACGGAACATGCAACAACCTCCAACATCCTATGTGGGGAGCTTCGCTCACAGGCTTCAGACGTCTCCAAAAACCAATTTATGAAAATGGCTTCAGCACTCCAGTTGGTAAGTTAGTTTTTCAAACTGATCTTCACTACAACTTTGAGTAAATTTTTCATTACTAACTTTGCTGGTGTAGGTGGCTAAAATGTACTTCCAAGTCACCAATTATCAGCAGAAATGATGCATATGTATGTTCATTACGGGACGGGAGGACAATTCTGTGTGCCAGTCTTTAAAATTTTGTGTCTATCCAACAGACAAGACTGAGGTGAAATAGAATTATGCAAGTGGCCAGTTGAATCGCTCTAATGTTTCGCTCTATTTGTTATGCCCTTGTCAGGTCAAATAATCGACAATCTAGAGGCAACCCCTCAGTGATGTATAATCTTTCGATTGTCTGGCCTAGTAAGAAAGTGATACATCTGATAGCTTGCGACCAACTGATAGCATTACTTCATTTCACCTTAGTCTTGCCCTCACCATTCGACAAACATTTTTTTGAGAATATTATAGATTAGGCAATAAATGCTCTTGCATTATGTATTTATAATATTAATATAAGTTTCTCGTGGATTTAAATGTTTTCAAAATATTCTTTTATTTTGGCACCAATAGTATAACCTTCGTTTTTTGAGGAATTAGCATAAATTTTGAATCAATTATGAAATTTTTACTTTCTTATCATACATTTTCGTGTGCAACAGAAGTCAGGGAAACAGGAAATATACAATTTTCCTTGTAATCTTACACAGTTGACCCGCAGCAGAGAAAAGTTTTACAAAGGTAGGAAAAAGGGGTCATCATTTCTGAAAATCGCCACATGTTTGTCGTCATCCACGGGCTGAAGACAATTTTGACAATCCTCAATTTGTTTTTGCAGGTTGGACAAAGTCGATCAAGTATTTTGGGTTTGAGAAACCGTTGGCAAGAGTTGTTTCAAATGAGATAATCAAAACGGAGGATATCACTCCAGATATCGAAATAACGCACATGGTAATGCAATGGGGTCAGTTTTTGGATCACGACCTTGATCATGCCATTCCATCGACTAGTCTTGAGAGCTGGGAAGGAATCGATTGCAAGAAATCTTGTGCCTATGCTGCGCCCTGTTTCCCGATGGACGTTCCAGAGCATGACCCCAGGATCAAGAACCGCCGATGCATGGACTTTATTCGGAGCAGTGCCATTTGTGGCTCAGGAATGACATCTGTGTTCTTTGGAGCAATCCAGCCTAGAGAGCAAATCAATCAGCTCACAGCTTTTATTGATGGATCGCAGGTGATACTTTTGATCTTACCCCTCTTTTTGTAGATGACAAAGTTCCTAAACAATAAAAATACCAAAAAGTAGTTTCAGCATTTTAACTTCAATATTAATAGCAAATGAAATGAACGGAATGAAAATATTTATGTTAGTCTGCTTTACTGACGCAATTTATTTTTGGTGCAGAAAACTAATCAACTTGTTCCTGTAAATTTTCTATGTTCTTTCCCTTCTTGAAGGGAATATTTTGTAAAAATTTCAGGTGACAACTACAGTTTTTTTGCATTTATGAAATGAATAGATAGATGACGCTGGCAGTAGGACACATAACGAGTGATCCAGCTTACTTTTTTGTAGATCTCTCCAATTCATATGAAATGATATCAAAGCTTTTTTGGTCTCAAAATTTTATTCCGTAAAGTTTAAATTGTGTCTTTGAACAAGTGTTTTACTTTTAGGACTTTGACAAAATTCTGAGTTTTTTTCCTTTTCAATTTCAGGTATATGGCTTCACAAACCAAAGAGCAAATGTACTGAGAGACCTCCGAAATGATGATGGTTTATTGAGAGAGGGAATTAAAGCGCCGTATGACAAACCCTTATTACCCATTGCTGGAGCTACAGAGGTTGATTGCAGAAGAGATTTAACCGAAGGCGATGTTGGGTGCTTTTTAGCAGGAGATATCAGAGTCAATGAGCAGGTAAACAATTCTTAATGGTTTCAAATATCACTAACCTTTCATTAGCTATTTGTTTAATACAAATAAAGAGTTAAAGAAATGAGTACATAATGTTATTGGCACATTGTGTTAGTTGTGAGATGTTTGATTTCGATAGTTAAAGTTGAAAATATCTGTCTTAATCATAACGTTTACAAAAAGAAGCGAAAGTCAGGAGTGGGTATCAGCATTTTTGGATCTTACCCATCAATTCTTTTCGCTAAGATGGAGATTTATATCAAATGATTCAGACACGTATGTAATGTGGAAATAAAAAAGGTACACAGAGAAAAATATGGCGGGCTTTTTATTCTATACAACTCATTGTAAAATGAAGAACTTTAAGTCCTTGTTTTGGATACATCGTTTGTGGTTTTTGATTGGTCACCAGAGAAAGTAAGATACCAGTCAAGTTCAAGTACAGAACTCTTTATATTTGAAAATGAGACCTGCTTTCTATTTAACTCAGTCGACTTGGTTTTATCATACACATATTCTTGTCTTGTTATTAATATGAAACCATCTTCAAAACGAATGGATTGAAAAGTATGTTGTTGCCACTTATTTGTTATTTTCAAGTCTGTCCAAAGTACTGAAAAAAGTTTAAGTCCAACTGTTTTTTTATTTAAGGTTGGACTGATTGCTATGCACACAATTTGGCTGCGAGAGCACAACAGAATAGCACGAGTTTTCCAAACATTAAATCCAACATGGGATGGCGACACGATTTTCCATGAAACCCGCAAGCTAATAGGTGCAGAGATGCAACACATTACTTATGCACATTGGTTACCTTACATAGTGGGCGCTGAAGGTATGAGGATGCTTGGTGAATATTCTGGCTACGATCCCAACGTTGATCCTGGCATCACCAATGTTTTTGCTACAGCTGCGCTGAGGTTCGGCCACAGCCTGATCAACCCAACTTTACGGAGGTTGAATGAAAATTTTACTTCTATTCCTGAGGTATGTTATTATTTTACCACAAAAATAATATTCAGTTTTATTCTATTTATGCTGTAATTTCAACACCTACGAATTTCGTGTACCATAGAGCCATCCACAAATCTGGCTGTCTCTTTATTTTTAAGGTTTCTTTAAGTCATGAGCAATGCAGTACTTGGAGCTTTTATGTTGAAAGAGCAAGTATAAATTAATCCTCTAATTCTCATAAAATTAAAAATACTAAAACCAGGAACTCCCAAGAAATGTGTTAAAAATGAAAAAAAAAAAAAAAAATTATCAAACTCTAAAAATCAATTAAAGTAAACACTGACACTTTTCGGGACCCTGTGGTTCCTCCATCAAGGCTAAAATGGCAATTCTTCCGTTTACTGTTGTCTACTGTGTGAGTTTGAGTTTTTAAATTTTCTGAATCTCTTTTCTTACTTATTTATTCAGCTTTCAGTTCGTCACCTCAGTTTCTCCGTTAGTTTTGGTTTTGTTTTCACTTCTTTCAGTTGGTACTCCCAAATCATCTTTGAATTATTACATAATGTCTTTTCCTCACGCCTCTTTTTTTAATTTCTTATAATAAAATTTTTATTTGTTTTTAGGGTGACTTAAGCTTGGGCAAAGCCTTTTTTGCTCCATGGCGCATTGTCAAAGAGGGTGGTGTAGATCCCTTGATGCGTGGATTTTTCATGACTCCAGCCAAACGGAAAATGCCAAACCAGAACTTGAATACACAACTGACAGAGCATCTTTTCACCTCCTTCCATGCGGTGGCACTAGATTTGGCTGCAATGAATGTTCAGCGCTCAAGGGATCACGGAATCCCCGGTTACAATGAGTGGAGGAAGTTTTGCAATCTCAGCGATGCTCAAACCTTTGACGATCTCAGGAAGGAAATTTCAAGTTCTTTAGTCAGAGAAAAATTGAAGAAGCTGTATGGGCATCCAGGTAAAATAATTAGAACATACAATAAATATATTTACTGTCCTTGTCAACTTCTGATCAGTAGTATCGTGAAACCAGCAGTCCTTGCATTAATATTCGAACTTGGTTCAACATCCACCTTTCTAGTATGTTCATTATTAATTTTATGTTTTGAGAATCTAATTTTGATAATTTTTTTCCCAGGTAACATTGATGTTTGGGTTGGCGGTATTCTAGAGGATCAACTGCCAGGTGCAAGGGTTGGACCTCTATTCAGATGTATTTTAATTGAACAATTCAGGCGTATTCGGGATGGAGACAGGTAATTCTAGTTTATATCACCTCTTTTGTTAACTTTATCGGTCATACTTTATTAAAATAGAAAAAATAAATAAATAGAAAAATCGGTAAGAACAAGTTTTACAAAAATTTAATTCTAGTTTGTCCTGTTTTATTATGATGTATATTTTTAAGCTATTTTAAAGATTTATTAACAGAGAGGCGACTCGAGTTTCAAGGCAGAGTCATAAGCACTATAGAAGATTCCAACGTGGAGATCCAGCTCCAAGATGTAGTGATGGCTGTGAGGGAGTTGAAAAACCGCAGAGCTCCTGGACATGGCCAAAATTCCACAGCGCAACCTTTTTTGTTCAGCATGACAGGGAAACAAACCGCTAATTTGTATGAAATTCCTTATTTTTGAAATTGTTTTTTTTTATCCATTTTTTGAAGAATAACATTACATTTTCTATATTAATGAATATATATAAATTGACATTAAATCAGAATAACCATCATTTTTTTCCAGGTTTTGGTATGAAAATCCATCTGCTTTCAAACCTAGTCAGCTCACCCAAATCAAACAAACCAGTTTAGCCAGAATCTTGTGTGACAATGGTGATAATATCAATAAAATTACCAAAGATGCCTTTTTATTACCATCACTACAAAAATCCTCCATTGTTTCTTGCTCTGAAATTCCGTCTGTTGACCTGAGATTTTGGTTTGACTCCACTGAAGGTATGTTATTTGGTTTGTTCTGTTTTTAAATATATGCTTTTTTGCAAATGTTTGACCCTGTTCATCCTTGTATTTACTGAAAGATTTCTTTATTAGAGGGAAGTTCAATTCTGAATTTTCACATAATGTGCGTTGTAGAAGGCTATTCTTTGCCGCATGGAGGCAAAAATATTGCTCTCTAGATAAATAAGTACTTCTTTCTGGAATTTATGCAGAAGACTTTTTAAGGAAAGTAATTATTTTTCAGGCTATTTTTTGTAAACTTTTAATGGTCTTGCACTTTCCTGCGCTCATTGGCAAACTAATCAGAAGAACAATATTCATAAAATTGAGTTGAAAAATGGGAATTTAAGTCTTCCCCAACAAGTACCCTCTACTAGCTCACAGACGAAGGTGCAAGCCATTTATTTTATTTGTGTACCAAGTAAAGATGCAAAGTTATATTGTAGTGCAACGGATTTGTGCACCATATCTGGCTGAAAAAAATTTCAGCTGATTTTTATCAAAACCATATTGTTGAACTGGATATTTCAAACCATCGTATCTCCCGTTTGATTTGACATGTTTTGACTTTCCGCTAGAAGTGTTTGCACCGATATCTCAATTCGAAGGCTCCGAATATTTTAGTACCTTCTTATGCTTTTCAATTTCAAGTCTCAATAACAATTCTGAACTAAATGGCCTATAATATAAGGAAATTCGAAGAATAGTTTTTTGTGATTTCAAGTGTCAATTTTTGCTGTCTTTAATTTTTTAAGGCTGTCATTTTGTCAATGATGAAGAAGATGAGGACCCTAGAATCAATGAAGTTTCAAATGAAATCAGCAATAACGCAACAGAAGCTCGGTTAGAAGGCCTTGAGTCCGTTATTCAAGACCTCCAGAAAACGGTCAAGCAGCTGAAAAGAAGGATGAAATCTTTCAGCCACCTTCCGAATGAAGACTATTGTCGTGATCATAATGGTGGCATTCGATCGGTTGGGGATCGATGGAGCAAAGACCGGTGCACCAGCTGCGAGTGTCAAAGGGTATGATCAATTTATTTTTTATGGGAAAAAAATATTCTACAGTACAAATTGGTGGTAGAAGGACGAGAGTTTATGCCGATTGGAACTTAGTTTTTTTTTTTGTTACGCATTCATGAAAGAGACTGGTCATCTCTTTAGGTGCGTACTTAGTTTTAGAGTTATCTAATGCTGAGGGGTGCAGCACTTTTTGTTGTGGGTTAAATGAAAGGAGGAGACATTTTCTGTTTTAGCAAGCAGTGAACGCAGTGCTCATCCTATAAAAAAGGAAAGAAGTATGGAAATTATGCATCAGGAATGTTATTACAACAAACAGTAAAGGAAAAACTAGGCTATTATAGTATTTTCTTCTTTTTTTATTAACAAAGAGGCCAGGAGCATAATTCTCAACTTATTATTCTAAATTAAAGACATGATCTTGCAAAGAAGCATTTTGACTAGCTTTCTTTGTGGAAAATAAAAGATAATTAATTAGAGATTTTCAAACGTCGAAATTTAATATATTTTTTTTTGCATATAGCCATCAATCTGTGCTATATGTGTTGTAAACTACACCGTGCTACTTATTTATTTTATTGTATCGTTTTGATTTTGTCATTCAAGTTTCATCATTTTGTCAACCATTTACCATTACAGGAATCACAAGTGACATGTACAACACTAGTCTGCCCCCATCTTACATGCAGTTCTCAAAGGAGACCGGAAAATGAGTGCTGTCCAATCTGTGTTTAGTCAATTATCTTCTAGAACTTCCTGATCTCTGGCATTTCTTTGCAGTGCTGTCCATCGCTCGGTCAAAGAAGCTGACATTTACTGTGAGTTACCCCTCAATCCTTTGATAGAAAGAGGCTTTCATCAACAAGATCAGATGAGAAGCTCCTGATGAGAACTTCAATTTTTTCACTAAAAAAAACTGGAAGAAAAAAATCTGTTCGTAGAGTATATGAAAGAGGAGAAGTTGGAAAAATGCGCCATTAAGATTTTCCCGCTGTAAATATGTTGATATGATACATTGTATTTGTAGGAAAGGTACTCAAAGGAAAATATAAATTTGGACCTTTTTCTTGTTTCAAAAGAAAGCATAGACTTGAGCCGAAGTGTTGGCATACTCTTGAAGTATTTGAAGTGACAAGTAATAGTGAAGTTCCTCTCTGCCGCTTTGAATTTCCCTCCTGTAAAACGCACTGAGGTTTTCATTCTCTAGTTTTCCTAATTATTCAGTTTTGACAATGTTTGAGAGTCAATTTTCAGGTGTGAATGTGACAGGAGGGGTTAATGCATTTGACTGTTTTCATAGTTTACCAACACTTTGGCTCAAGTGTATGTCATATTTTTCCATCAGCTCTCTAGAGTACACTTAAGCTAGGTAATTGTTTGATGGATCATGCACAATTATGTATCATATCCAACTGTAAGTGACTTATCATAAGCGCAGCACTCAGTGAAAAGGAACCATGTAAACCTTCAAAAAATTTAGTTCAAGATAGTTTTGAGCTGGTTTAAATGTACACTTTCTCCTTCAAAAAATTTAAAGTAAGGAATGAATTAGTGCAGAGTGATTGACCTTGAGTCAGATGAAGGATTGAAACTTTAAGTCTGTTTTTCTTTGTTTCTAGTCCAATTGTTTGGTTCCTCTTTGTTGAACATCGTAACATTGTCCTAAGAAACCAAAATATTTTAGGAAAGCTACTCATTGTCCTGTCATGCTAAGCAAGAACTATATAGTTCCTTTCCAGATTTTGTTTCTTTTTTAGATAGAAGGACGGACAGACATTCTTTTCATCAAAAGAACATGCACCTTTTTTATTATTTCAGGATATGTACTGCATAGCCTACATATCCTGAAATTCATAACAAATTATGTAGGTTTGGAAGTTGTTGTTCAAGGGTTATATGTTCGAGGTAATTTTGCAAAATCTGAAATGGAGTGCCGGCCTAGCCCATTTGTATTGTAGTTTTTCATGATCAGTTGAAAGCTGTGGATTTCTGACCCTAGTTTCTTGCTGAAAATGTCATCACGAAAGTAAAATAGAGAAAATCGAGATATCTCAGCTGGTTTATGCGCATGATAGTCATGCCTAATACATTGATCTGTTTAGCCATACCTAGACGAGGTGTGACCATGGAACTTTCATAGATACCTAAGTATATTTGTTGATGTGTAATTCAGAGTCAGAAGAATGGCAAATGCTTTTAAAATGTATAAAATATTAAAAATAAGGAAAATCACCTTTAGTTGTCTGCCTTTTTTTTAGTTCTCAATAAAAAACGTTTCATGGCTTGCTTGAATCTTGATAAATTTGGAAGGGATGTGTTGTACTAGAAATATGTGTGTGTATATTTTTCTGCTTTGTGGAAAAAAATTGAAGAGAAAAGAAAAAATATGTTTCAATACTAACTATCGTATATTTGAGAACTTGCAAAAATAGTTTCTTACACTTTTCAAAAAATATCCTCAATCTGAAAAAGTTTAGATATCCTGTATCTTGGCCATCTATTAACACATCACTTTTAGCGGCTCTGGTGCTTGCACTAGAGCTGCTATTCCGGACGGTCCCAGCTGGGGAGTATCAATGGACCATGTTACATTGGAGAGACTGTGCGTTGGTTGATGGGAATCGGCGCCATATTCGACTATGTACCTTGTCATGACTTTATTTTATTGCATATTGTTTTATTGTTAGCCAATGCTATGTTGTGTAGTGTATTTTTGGAATCATGGTGATACAGTCAATAATTCAAAACTTGTCTGTGCTTTAATCTCGTGATGGAAAAAATGTACTTTACGTTCAAAATTTGAAATTTTGAATTTTAAAGTTTTCGTGGTTTTTTGGAAGAATGCAGTGGTTGGAGCTTCCTAGGCATATTACTCGATATCAGCTGATAGCAAACAAAGGTTACCAAGGAAACCGTAAACGTTTAACAACTATCGTGGCCATCGGGGCGATTATTGAAATGACATCGACTCTATGTCACCGCTTACGACAGGACATAGCCCTATCTTATCCATGTAATATATCGCAATTCGATATTGTTTTGATTTTTAAATGGAGCAATTTATTCATAAAGTTCCGATTAGTTTTGGCGAACGGGCAGAGCCGCTTTCCGACGCGAATGCGTTGGAGCTTACTGCTTGTTTTAAGAATATATTGAATACAGATTCACAATGTCAGATGATTTATTTATCTATTTTTGGTTGAAGAAAAATAGTATACTGAGAATAAAGAATGACATTAAAATACATACATTTTCGTTTTGAAAATTTATAAAAATAAACTCTGCAGTTTCCTTTAATGATGTGGAAATTCGTGGAATGTTTCTCTGTAGTTCAATTGTTGGTGCGGAAACAATGTGAAAAATATCAATTTCTTCAAAAAACATATTACATCAAATGTTGAAAACTAAACTTTTAAAATAACAGAATAGGAAGATCAAAGGTAATGGAATCATTTCCTAAAATTACTTTCCTTGGAATATCTGTAGTTACCAAATAATTTGATAATTAAGGAGGTTCAATTCCTCAATGTCAAGGTTTTCGTTTATGTACTGTTAATTTGTAAAGGGAATGACTTGTTGAAAGAAAATAGCAATGGCTAAATTCTGAAGCCTGGTATCTCAAAATAAGTATGTACTTCAAATATATGCCTCTCCAAATCCAAACACCTGCGATCTTTCTCCATGTTTTTTAAGGAAAATAAATTCAAGTTCAACCAGATAAGAACAAATTTTCCTCTTGGCAACATAAGGGGGTGGGGTTAGGAACACCTCTTTACTTGATATTTTTATAACTTATTTTTTGGGTAGGAAAAGCATTGAATTTTTCACAAAGTGATGTTGTTTATTACACAGGTAAATTATAAAGTGTACTATACTTTTCAACACTGCCAATCAAGGTAAAATTTTTCAACCCAAGTTATAAGTAAGTAAATTTCAGTTGACAAGAATCTTGTAAAGTAATGGTTAAGTTTTTTTACCCTTATGGATTAGTTAACAGACAGCATCTGCAGCTAGAGAGACGTGTATAAATGCATTTTTTGTTGTCTTTTTCTGATCCTCTGGTTTTTTCCTGAAAGTGTCATCAAAAATAAAGCATACTGAAAGAAACCGAAAATATAAAGTTCTAACTTTCTCAAATTTGTTTTTCAAACTTAAAAAAATAATTTAGGTACAATTTTTGTATCAACTTCTTTCTGTTGTATGTCTGTCTTCAAATTTAATCATCAAAAATTCTCATATGCAACAAAATATATACATTTTTTTACAATATCCTAAGAAAATATATGTACAACTTTGTTCCTAACCTACTGAATATTTTTTTAAAAGAATATACATCTATCTTAAAATATCACAGTGACTTCACTTTATACCCTTGTATCCTTTCAATATTTATCATAAACAAAAAGCTGAGATTTACATGGTTAACTTTTATAGTAAATAAAGAAAGTTATAATGGCAAAACTAAGGAGCCCCGTTTTGCAGTTTGATAAGATGAAAACTTCGTTTCATACTCTTATTTTGAAGAAAGAAAACAAACGTTTAGGTATATCACTAGAACAATTTTGCGTGGTTTTCGTCTGTCTACTAAACAAATTCTCCCCGAAACTTTTTTTTCGGACATAAAAGTTGTGTAAGAGTAGAAATTTTGAAACATGCTGAGATACCGGGCGTTTCTTTGGAAATTTCAAAACCACCTAGTGCGACACACATAATAAATCAATAATAAAAAAAAAAAAAACAGTCATTCTGTTTCTGCCAACTGTTTAATAAATATCAATCTGAAAGAAGGCTCCCAAAAGAGCTCATAGACGCAGTTGCTGAGAGCTATTTCGACGATTGTATGAAGAATGAGTCCATAAGTCTCCAGGGCTTCTCAGTTTGTTTGATATTTTGCTCCTGTGTTAGTGGCCGTGACGTGCGAAGCGAGGGCAATGATCCGATTTGGTCCAATTTTCAAACAATAAGTGAACGACGCGAAAATCGATAACTCGGTTTTTTGAGGATTCTTTCATTTCATTACGGGTATCTAACAAGAGTGCTGCCGTGCTGAGGAAGAACGCCGTATGAAGATTCGATAGCTGTCAAATTTCCACCAGTAAAATGTTTATTTTTGAGGAAAGATATGAATAATTTTCCTTGAAATTTTCAAATCTTTCAGATAGAATTGCGAACTTAATCGTCTGCAAATTTTGAGAAAAAATAATCTCAATGTTCAGTGTAAATTTATGTTTTATTGAAGGAGATATGGCAACGTTTGGAGGGTCATACGGAGTTTTTCCTTAGCGCGGCAGAATGGGACTAAGAATCTCAGCCGGATTGGAGCTATTTCGACTGTTTTCGTAAAACGTGAACACACTCGGAGAACCTAAGTTAATTTTTCGCGTTCTTTTTTCCTGTTTTACATTTTGCCGACGTTGGCCTTGAGACGCAAGAACCTTGGAGAATACCTTTACTTATTTTCGTCTTACAAGGAGGGTAAGAATCCCTTAACAAATTACGTCAGGCTCCTGGGGAAAGAGAGGGGAGAGGGGGCTATTAGCCTGTTATGCTCAGGTAATACACCGTATTGGTGGTCGAAAATTTTCAAAATTGTTTCGGTAAAATATTCCTCTTTAAGGACACTCATGAATATTCGTTCTCGAAATCGTCAGATACCTCAGGTTGAATTTTGAATTAAAGTCTCTGAAAGTTTAAAGATATGAAGGCGCAAGTTTTCCGGAAAATGTGCATTTTATAAGAGGGGATTCGGCAAAGTGTAAATGCTCCTTCCGATGTTTTCCTTCAGCATGGCAGTGGTTCGCTGCTGAGGAGGGAAGGAGGGCAAAGTTTAATCTCACGTAAGTCAAAAAGTTGAGAAAGTAAAAGCAGAGGAAAAAAGAGAAACGCAGTTTTAATTTTTCCCCTATTTTAAACTACGGGAGGGAGGAAAGGGGGTTTCCTTAGCCTGATATGATTTTCAGAGGCGGTCTGAAAATGCCCGAAAAGAGCGCGCAAAAAAATCGGGGGAAACGTTTTTTATCTCAAAAGGACCCCTGAAAATGAAATACACGACGATTCGCCTTGATATAATTAGTAGACAGGTAGGTAATCTGTAGAAATATTTTTAATGAACGTTGCCAGCAATATTATCAGGCGCTTGTTTTTTAAATGTCGCAAGAAAATTTTGCCATTTACATTTCCTGATATTACTGTCGCAAAGTTGACACAACATCGCCAGTAAGTGCCCTGGTAAAAATTGGCGATAGGAGCTGCGTTTCAAAATACCTTAGGAGTTCTTATAACCGACTGAAGAAGGCGATAGAAAATCATATAGTCGGCTATAGAAAGTGGAAAAAATCATACGGCCGGGCTACACGAAACGATAAAAACTTATACAGCCGGGTTATAGTTCCTATCGCCGGGCTTCACACTTCATCGCCTGGCTGTTGCTTTTTCGCCATCGGCTATAAAAGGCTATAAGGAATTGTGTAGATATTCGTGTGCTTTGTAAATCCTTAAGTTTGTACGAAATCACCTTAATGTTTAAAAAACGCACATTTTTTTTTTTTCAACAATTAAAATGAGAATAATCCATACAGAGTGTGCAAACATTTCAAAGTCATGAGTTGAAAAACGCTGACTCCACGAGATTAAATATTAGAGCCTAACACAAAGCGGAGCGGCGGCGCACTGGCGCCTTCAAACCTAACAGGGATACTTCACGCATTGCGCAATGCGTGAAGTATCCCTGTTAGGTTTGTAGGCGCCAATGTGCGTTTCGCGCTGGCTGCCCGCCCGTCGCGCCGCGCCGCAGCGTACCACGGCGCTTAAAGCAACTATTTCACACCAGAGGTATTGCACAGTATCATACGAAACTGAAGGCGCTCCAACATATTAGGAATGGCAGGCATCCTTCAAAAGTACGAAGCTTTCCTCGCAAAATAAATCAAGATACTACGGCCCAAAAAGAGAGCGGTAGTCCAAAAACTCACTAAGTCCTAGCATCCGTAATTAGTATCGTTTAGCATACACTTTATCGCCAGGCTGTTGCTTAATCGCCATTGGCTATAAAAGGCAATAAAAAATTGTGTTGCTGGCTATTGAAGCTATTGGAAATCTTACAGCCGGTTGTAGGTCTATGGTATTTTGGAACACAGATTCTACTGCCGATTTTTACCAGGGTGAAAATGCGATCAAAACAAACTCCACCCTAAAACTAAAAAATATAATATGTGCAGTGAAAAGTTTTGATTGCAAAGTTTCAAAATCTCCGCTCCTATTTAAATTCTCCAAAGTAGGACAAATCGATCTCATTACTTGAAATTGTCAAAGAATATTCTTCACGCAGGGTGGAAAACATTATCAAGAACTGGCATTGAAAATTGAAAAGCTTTCAATGTAAGAATTAAAGCGTATAAAAGAAAGTTCGTCAAGTCACCAACAGTGGCGTGGCGTGAATTGCGATGTATCGATTGTTATGCCATTTAAACCTATGATAAAGAATCAATTATCAAGGTGTTCGCTGCGAACACCCTGTTTATCGGTCCTTTTCTATAGATTTAAATGGCATAACAACCGATGTATCGCAAATTCACGCTACGCCACTGGTCACCAACCGAAATACGTGGCTCCCATAGTTTCACCATTGATGAAATTAACAGATTTCAGAATCCTTTGCATCTTTTTCGTCGCTTTCAAATTATTCCCAAATTAATTTTTTGCCAAAATCATCGATCAACGCCAACGTGAATGAAACTAATTTTACTTGAAGCAAAAAGGAAAAACGGAAAGCTGGTAGTGACCGTAACGGAAATAGGAACACAGCATTTGAAGAACAATTAGACGTTGGAATGGATTACTCAATATTCAATAAAATAACGAAATCGGATGAGAGTTCTCCGATTTGCAGGTGAACGAATCGCTCTGATGCGCGGGAAAGTCAGAATTTCAATAGGTAAGTTAACGCCGCCGCCATGTTTTGCGATCAGCGTTGAACTTTTTTAGGCCGAGTTTGAGGAAGAGCAGCTGCGGCTTTGCCCACCGCTATCCTCGGTCAATACGTCAGCAAAGGCCGTTGCTTCAATCATCTGAAACCATCAAATTAACGTTAATACACAAGAAAAAAATGTTAAAGAAATCTCAAGAATGTTTATTTCCAAATGAAATCCAATTCGTGTGTGAATAAACTGAAATATTTGTTGGTCTACACTTTGCAAAAAGGAACCAAGAGTAGGTATCTCAATGTTGCTAAGATTGTGCAATTTCTTTTGTCTCGGAAGAAAAACCTGATTATCCATAAACTGTTTCTATTTTACTCGCTAAAAACTGTTTTAAGACAAAAATTACCATGTATATTTCATATTTTTTCACGATTTCAGTACTTTTATTGCAAAGGATGAAGTTGCAAAATCCTATAGCATCATTGCAATGCTTCTGGTTCCTTTTTGGAAAATGCAATCCAGCTACACTTCGAGGAGCATAATGATCAGGGCCGGATTAGCCGGGGTGCCGAGTTGCTATGTTCTGCAAATCGTTGCATGTGAAATGCCTTCAATTTGGAGAGTATGCAATCCGCAAATGTGGGGAAACCCTTTTTGCCTCCCAGCACCCTGGGCCACCGAGCACTTATCCGGCCCTGGTTATTATGAAAGTTTTACTTCCTCCCCTCGGAGTCACGCAGGAAAAAAGCTAATTTTATGTGTCGCTCTCAAAATGTGTGAACTACCCTATACGTACAAATGTGTAAGTCAGTTAGTATATTTTAAGACATTCAGCGTCACAGGCTATTAACGTCTTTACAGAGAATTTTGAAACTACTGTATGCGTGATCTACTTACTGTATATAACGCAGTGCAACTTGGACTTAAAAATTTTACCGTCGACTTTCGATGTAATAAGTTGAAAATTACCTTCAGGCAGCAGCTTCCTGCAATTCTGTGTGTGCTCGAAGTTGCCTTCGAGTGTTTTTTTGGATCATTTGTTGAACACATTCAGCGGGAACTTACTGTGCTTCTGTGATCTTCTCTCTGGCATCGTGTTATACAGGAAGCATACGGTGGGCCGTCCTGAGGCTGTCGATTGGCTATTTACAACCGTGACCATCGCCTCACTCGTGATGCCTGCGGGCCCAAGAAATAGAATGATAAGACCACTGCCTTGGTCTGTAAAATTGATAGCTCATAAAAAAAAATGTAGTTTGGAGACTTTAATTTAACGGATGAATGTCTGACAAGTTTCAAGCGTTCACCTGATAACATATCGATCGATAAAGTCGAAAAATGTGTAGGTATCTCGGATTAGATTAATTTTTTTCCTCCAAAAGAAAATTGCAGAATTTTTATCTTGATATTGCGTGTGAATTTTCCTCATTCATTGAAAATTATCCTCAGAAATTTTCAAAAAGGTATTATTGTTGATTTTTTTTAAACAAAAGAAGAGAAGACAAAGAAAAAGAGAGAAATTTTCACGATGGACGTTGTAAATCCGGACATTCGACTTGAATCGTCGCTCCTGTGACGTAAGGGCGTATCTCAAATACTACGTGAGCCCTGTTGTCCATATACTGCCATGCTTTTCCGGGCTCATGTGGAAATAGAAATACGCCCTTACGTCAGAGGAGCGACGAAATGAGTCAACGGGACGTAACGCTGACTAACTGTTACGGGGAAAGGATTTTCCGCGAAGAATGCTTTCGACAATTACAGACAGTGATTTATTTATGATTTTCACGCAAACTATTAGCACACTCATATCAGCAAAAGTTTATCACAAATCGATATGAGTTCCTCAAAAAGCCCCCAAACGGAGGAGATTCATCGAAGGGAGTTGCTGGTTTATTCTAAAAACATTTGAAATGCTATTCATCATTCCTATTAAGATTTTGGTGAAATCAGCCTCTGTTAATCTGCCGTGCAACGCAAAAACGCCGTAAACGCCATTTTAAATTTTTTGGAAACAATGTATCATAGCACGAAAACTTGTGTACTTTGGGACAATGTTGTAATAGAATTCTTTCTCTAATACTATCAAGAATTTAACAGGAAAATTTGAAGTGCATAGGTAAGACAGCTTTTATTTTATAAAGTGTTGAGTCCCAAAAAACACAGGAACATCTCGATGGAGTTACGGCGTTTTTGCGTAGCACGGCAGTAATAGGCTATATCTACAATGCTTTATTAAGGGAAAACGCCGTATGAACAACCGGATATTTTTGAATTTCGGCTGATAAAAATCGAATATTACTGCTGATTTATGAATGTTTTCCTCTGATATTTTCACAATAATCTATTCGTATTTTGATGAAATGTGCCTTAAAATGTCAAAGAAAAACGTCCGAAAGTATTATAAAAAAGTGTAATTTTAAAACAATTTGCAGCTTTCGCTCGCAAGGGTGAGCAGCTCGGAATTTCGCGAGATATTGGAGAAATAACCCGTGGCTCATGACATTTATTAAGTGACCCATTACCAAAAGTAGTTGAAATGAAAACATCCATTCAATGATGTGGAAGAGCCATTGTTTCGATATATAGTGAAGAAAATCAGTTACTTTCTTCCGTATCAAACACAGAAACTTATTTAACTGAAAAATATGGCAATTCTGGGCGGAAATACGTTTAGCTTCCAGGAATTCCTGCTCTACATTCAGCAATTTTGGTCCCATAGTTGGATCAGCCTCTGGAAATTTCCGCGCCCAATTGAGCTTTTATGACTGAAAAGTGGGATCAATCTTACGCTTGATCAAGTTCGAGCTACAGGAATGTACTCCGGTAGTTGCGAAATGGAGCTCTAAGGGTAGGTTCCAGGACCACCTCTGGTCTAATAGAGCAGTGACAAGGAATTTTCACCGGGTTTTGGTGTAGTTTTCCCATGTAAAATACTAAAAAAAGTTCATAACAACACTTTTAAGTCTAAGGGGAGAAAAAGCTATTCAAAATCCGACCAATCAAAAGCCGACAGTCGAGTTGACGTAACTAGGTTTTACTTTTATTATAGAGAGAATCTTAATGCACTGAAAAAAATAATATGCTGTTTTAGCATCTACGATGTCAAAAATGTGTCTGGTGATCCCAAGATGCTGCCTTTACTGCCCTCGCAGTTAACTTTACATCCTATGAATGCAAATTCAACTGCGTGGGCAATCAAGGCAGCATCTTAGGATCACCAGACACATTTTTGACATCCTAGGTGCTAAAACAGCATACCATTTTTTTCAGTGATAGCATTCAACTCTTCATATTGAATTTGTATATGAAATATCACCCTGAGCTTACGTCGTTTCAAGCTATGCCGAGTCGAAACGCCGCTAACTCAGAGTGACGCTCACCTCTAGGTGACGTGATTTTGACCCAAAGTTATTTATTAAAAAGTGAGATATATTTTAACTCGATTCTAGATCAAGCCTGGGTCACCGAATAGAAATTAACGTGTTTATCTAATCGCTGGATCCAGTCAATGTTGTGCTGGACACCGAAAAATTGGACATATTCGGATGAATTTCTAGATTGTTTACCCAGACTGGTTGTTTCGACCCTAGATTTGTTTAGTGCACTTTATAAACCCAACACGGAAAAAATTAAATGTTGATTTAGCATTTAAAATGTTAAAATAAAGGCCGTCAAGTTTCAAATGCTGATTTTACAATACAAAAATGCTAACACAACATTTGAATTTGTTCGTTTTACAATGGGCGTGGTTAAGTTAACATTTCTTCAAATGTAAAATCAGCATTTGAAACTTGTCGGACATGTTTTTAACAATATGAATGCTAAATCAACATTTAATTTTTTTCCGTGAAGAATGGTCAAATTCTCGCGTGCACGATGCTGCAACCTCGGCGTCATCACGAATCAAGGGATGAATTCATTTCTGTCGTGCTTACTATTCCGTTTAGCATCGGAACTGGAAACAATCAGAGTTCGTCGAAGAATTCGCGATTGTGTACTCGCTGAGAATTTAGGCCATTAATTTTCCCTGGGTCAATATTGACTTTGAGAACGCTTCATTGACCCAGACCGCTCTGCTCCGGCCGCCGCCGCACCGCACGCCGCACAGTGGATCGAGTCAATCAGAGAGGTCTGACAGTTAGAGGAGGTCCAGTAAAATTGCAAATTTTGATGTTTATTTCGTCACATTTCTAAAGCGGTGTTTCTAGGAAAAACTTTCACGGGAGGACCCATGGAACCACTTTTAGAACCTCAAAGCTTTGTGTAAACGGAGTTAGAAGCTCTTAAAGTTTCCAAATTTTGTCCGACCTCTCCCACTGACTCGATCCACTGTGCGCCGCGACGTCCGGGTGCCCTGTTTCAACGTAGAGCGATTTGAGGGAGCCATAGATTTGCTACAGAGTAATGCGCCTTCAATTGAGGATATAGGCATAAATACTTCCTGAGTGAAGCAAAGGAGCAATTGGAATCCATCCTCAATTCGGTGTGAACCATTGACTGAATTTCAGAATATTACTACTTGCACAATTAAAAATTTTCGTGCTTATGGTTTCTTTGGGTTCCTTTTTTTCGGTCAGATCAACCGAAAGGACATGGTTGATCGACCAAATTTTTGGGTTAAATCGACCAAAGCTATAGGTTGCTCTGAAAAATATGGGGGTGAAGGAGCAACACGAGGGATGCGTTATTTCCTACATCGTCAATTGAAGGCGCGATGTTCTGTAGCAACTCTATTCGATACTGAATACTGCATATCGACGGTGAAACTACCAAACCACGTATCTCGTTTGCGGTGTTTAAAAATCTACGCTCGCATTTTATTTTTTTGAAGTCGACCAAATCAATATCATTCCTTGAAATTTTCACAGAATTTTCTCCGCACAAAGAGGAAAAATCACAGAAATTTTCAAGACTAGACGTTAAGTAGTTTTTCATTAAAAAAATAAAGTATGACAGGAAGTCTGCGACGTCGCAAACCGAGATACGTGGTTCGGTAGTTTCACCGTCGATATGGTTTAAACGCGTAAATTTGAGTCTGCTTAGCCTAAGATCGTGAATACTTCTCTAGCGTGTTTAAGACGCCGCCGCTAAGATGCTTCAAAGAGTAATTACACTCACTAAGGTGATCTTCATGAAATCTTGGACGACAAAAATCGAGTAGATGATATTTTAATGTTATTTAAGGTATTCTAATTTACTTATTTGGTGTTTTGGGTTTTGTGAGGTAAGCAGCAATGATAAGATGCCAGCATACTTTGATGACGTATGTTTTCTTCTATTTAAAATTCCAGATCGGCATAGAATATACTTTGAATGTAAAAGTATGAGTTAAACTTTACCTTTAAAATTGAACCTTACGGAAAATAGAAACCTTTAAAAATTGTAACACTTTTCTCTCGCTTTCAGCTTGATGGAGCTTCTTTCGTTTCAGAACTCGATTCTAAGGTGGTCTATGACAGTATCACGTATGCCGCAATTGCTTTAGACCGTAGACAATTGGAAAGAAGCAAAATCGACAAGGAAAGAAAAAACAAGAAAAACATTTTGTAAAGTTTTCAGTCAGTTGGGAACGAGGACGGTTTAATTTCCCGCATAATTTGACGCGAGTGTGTGTTTAATCGTTTGCACTGTGCATTGCAGAGTGCCTCTCTGAAGCCACAAATCAAGGAAACGACTTCCGCCAGAATTGAGTTCCAGCTTAAATTCAAAATGAGACAATCCCGGTGTTTACAAGCGGTAGCTAACTAACCATTTATTTCGTTAAGCTCCCCTTCGTCACCCCTCCCCCCATCCACCCACCTTTTCAACCCTCTACCATTCCCTCTTGTCGCTCTCATCTCCTAGTCCATAAAGAGCCACCTTTTTAACAGACGAGTGTGCAGACTATCTTCGATCAAAAGTAAGTTTATTAATACAAGATTTGGCCTCCTAGAGATATATCTTTCGATTATTTTGGGTAACCTTTTAAGGTAGATATTAGATTGTAAGGTAGAAAAAAATGTGTGGCTAATTCATGGGGCTAAGGGAACATTTACCCCTTATGGGGGTGTATTGATATAGAGCGTCTACACAGGATCACAACTTTCTAAAAGGGGAGTTTGCGACCCATTCATCTGGGGGCTAACCTGATGTGGGTTGATGATGTAAAATTATGTATTAGTACAAAGCGGGCTGATCGTTGACATTGGTAGACAAAACGATTGACAAAGAAGACAAAAAGGATATGGTGAGATCCTATTGGTGGAAGCGGGTGGTTGCAATGGACGAAGGAGGTGGGTGATAGACTAGCTAACGGCAACCCACGAGAGACCCTTTTCGTTAGTCCATAATTTCTACCTTAGTCTATTAGAACCACCCATTACAACCAATAGGATCACTCCATACTCCTTATGTCTTCTTTGTCTGTCGCTTTGTCAATCAATTTCAACAATCAGCCCGCAGAAATCAAATTGGCGTTTATCAAAAACCCACTAAGTCGCATCAAGCTGAAGGGAAAAAAGAGAAGAGAAGTTGAGACTTGACGTATAACAAGTGTTCTATTCTGCCGTGCTGAGGAAAATCGCCGTATGAACATTCGAGAGTTGCCAAATTTCCTCCAATTAAATGTATATTTTTGAGATAATTTATGAATATTTTTCCATGAAATTTTCAGGAGCCTTAGGTGAAATTGCGTACAAAATTATCTGAAAAATGGAAAGGAAAATATTCATAATTTCACCGGGAAATTCGTGTTTTATCAAAGGCAACGCTTGAAGGTTCATACGGCGTTTTCCCTTAGCACGGCAGTATTGGTCACCACTTTTCTAGCTAAGTGCTCACACCGAATTTCATCAATCATCATCGTCGAATTTCGAACTTTGGCCCCACTGTATGACATTGCTCAGATTGTTAGTACGAGACCCCTAAAATGTATTGTCTCTGATTGGTTCTTATCAATGCACTTTGCGCGATTATCACTTTCCAACTGAAAAATCTCGAGAATGCCTGCGGCAATTATTTTCATTCATCGGCGCGCAACTTCAACTTCTCGCGCGCCTAGCTGAAAGCCGAAACTTCGACTGGGAAAGAGTGATTATATTTACTGCGGCTCGGAGCACCAGTGTCGCGCGAGATTTATAGCCAATTGTTAACATTATCGTTGCCAGATTTGGCAGAATCCGCAAAATTCGCGCGCGAAAACCACCGTACAACCGACACAGTTCGGCAACGTCGGTCAACGCGGTCGATTTTGAGCGTCGGAGATAAACGGCTCTCGAAACTTTTTATCGCCACAACGAATGAGGCGCGCAACAAGGGCCATCAATTTCATCTCCGCAAGTCGCAGGCGAAAGAACGTAAGTCAATTTCGAGATAACCATTGACGCGCATGCCAACCCGCGGCTCGAAAAAAGTTGCGTTTACGTCCTTTTCCCCGCGGAGCCAGGAAGTTAGATGGCCGTCATTCGCTCATTATTCAGCGCGAAGTTCGAGATTTGCCCCTCGATCATGTGTTGCAATCTTTTCCGTTCGCTTGAAACGGCGTAACTCAAATTTAAAACATACGAGTGATAAGCGTTTTGTGCGTTGATATACTGTTTACTCCATTGGAAGTGTGTAAAGCGTGCTTGCACTAACCCCCGGCTGTTTTGCAACTTGAGGAAGTTTTTAACTCCGATGAACATCTGGATGAAGTGTTGAGGTCCGACAAGTGCGGGGGGGGGGGGCGACGTGCATGAAATATGGGAAAGGGTAGGGGGTGAGAGAGGTGATGAGGAGTTATAAAATGATCAATAGGGGAATATGTGCCATAGAAGAGGGTGGATGGGTGTTTGCCACGGTACAGTGGCAGTGGTGTTTAGAGGGATGGAAAGTACATGAGGTGCACTGCCGTGCTAAGGAAAAATGCCGTATGAACCTTCAGGCGTTCCCAAATACCCTTTGATAAAACACGAATTTCCTCATAAATATATGAATATTTTTCTTTCAATTTTTCATATGATTTTGTTCGCAATTTCATCTAAAGTTCCTGAAAATGTCAAGGGAAAATATTCAAAACTTGCCTCAAAAATAATCATTTTATCAAAGGAAATTTGGAAACTCTCGAATGTTCATACGGCGTTCTTCCTTAGCACGGCAGTGCAGCGCTGCGATAGGATAACGTATAGCTACGAGTTGTGGATTTTCAATATCGATGCATTTGACTGAGTTTTGCGAGATGAAGCATATTTTAAGTATGATGTAATGATGTCATTAGGGAAAGAAAACTGACTTGTATTTTGGAGGCTGGCCCCCTCTCGCATCCCTCTTGCACGAGGTAGTCGATCGGTCCACCTCAGGGTCATCGCTGCGCCTTGCTGATCCAGCAACACGGCAACTCGCCTGAAAAATTATCAAAGATTTTCGTAACGAACTTCAAAGTTGGTTAAAATATGCGCATTGAAGTATAATTTTTCAATGGACTGATAACTATTGTTAGTTTCAAAAATGTTTGTAATTCTATACGAAAAGTTAACGGGGAAAAGCGACGCATTTTGCTACAAAACATAATTTATTTTGCAAAAGAGAATCAATAAAAAATGTAAAATTACAGTATAACAAGACAAGACTAACTGTCGAGAAGTTAATTTTTTCCTTATTGTATTGAATTCATTTAGTTTGTAGGTAACTGTGTTTGAAAAAAATAATGGCTTTTAATCAACGTAAGCATGCAGGCCATATGCATTGTTATGAAGCGTCATAATTTTATTCCAAAGCTAGTGCGACTAACGTATCCTTTAAAATTTCACAAATTTACTCAATTTTTTATCATTCAGCGTGTTCCTGACATGATTTAAACTTCAAATGTCAGTGCAAGACTGATTCATAGAGGTGGAGTATGATGCAATGGGAGTTCAAATATATTTGAAGGTATTCGTTCATCAACCGCAAACATTTAATCTAAAACCCCGGGCAATGATTCATTGAAATTGATATTAACCTCAAACATTTGATCTAAAATACTAACCAAGCATGCTATACGGAATCAATTAATTATTTCACTTATTCACTATTGAACCCGTGAGGTGAAAAACTCATCATAATTTTGCTACTAGAGATGCCGAGCTTCTCTAAACTTCTAATCGTTTTCCCCTTTACTTGGAAATGTGAACAAGCTTGTCTCAAATGAAAATTCAGATAAAAATGTTAAGTTTTTAGTTAGATGCCTCCGTTCTGCCTTATTTTCTTGCTCTCTATTCACGGCAGAAATCAAGATTTTAAGGATGAACCTACAGAGTATCAAGGACGCATTGGTAAATTTTTCCTGCAGACCGAAACAACGCTAAACTTCATACGAAGAAATGGCCAACACGAACCAAAAATCATCCGTTCATTCGTAACGCCTTCGAAAGAGAGCCTTCAAAGAGATCTAAATCTGGATACCACTATTCGAACTCGGGAGAGAGCATTTTGCCTATATTCCAAATTGAAGGCGACTTGATCAGCTGCAATCTGGGGTCCAAAATCTATCTTCAGAAAATGTTGACGTTGAGATACCCAATTGTGCTGTAGTCATGATGTATCTCTCTAATTGGCCAGCAGTAACAAGAATTATCAATAATCCGGTGTTGCCTAATTTCCTATCAGGTTTTATTTTGTTACGATGAGATGGAGCAACACACTGTACTGAAATTTTACGATAATAGGTTTGATATCATAGGGGAAACTCACGGAGAGTTTCAAGACGCCCGTGTTTAAAAAAATAAAAGATAATATAATAATTAATAAAAAAAAGGACAAGAAGTGTAATTAGGCTAATATCGGTTAAAGTCCACTTCATGCTAATTAATTCTTTCCTCTCTTACTGAGTTACTAACGCATTCACTTAGATCAAAATTTCGAAATCTTACTTTTCTCATTTTCCCTTCATGCTTGTTAAAGTAATAGCTTGCTGATGTCTCTATGATTGAGTTCTACCCTGTTGCCATATTTGTCATAGTCACCGTTTCAAATCAAGCAATCAGATGCCCTCTTTCAATAATGGTATACAACGTCGCTCTAACAGGTGTAAGTACTGGAGGCAACCGTTTCCACAGGCCTCCCTCCATCTTGACCCACGAGCCTCAGACAGCCCTTTCTCATTCTTTTTTGGGCTCATGCGCAGTTCACAAAATGTTAATGTTCTGTATCAAACTTGTTCATCCAGGTTTACTTCATCAGTATGCTCGACAGTGCCCATCAATGCTCTACAGGTTCTCCCGTTTCTCGCAATTCATCATTTCCATGGGAAGGAACGTAAATTCATTTCAAGATTGCGAAATTGCTTCAAATAATTCAATTATTAACACGTAAATAATTCTTCAATTCCCGTCCAAAATTGTGCTGATTTTTGCGTAAAATCGGAAAAAACACCTGAAATTGTCATTTGAAAATGTCTCCCGTTTCCTTGAATAAATCGAAATTTGCCCATGAAAGTTTTGCGTTGTCGAAAAGTACTCGTAGTCATGCTGTTTCGTCCCGGAAACTACGAATCAGTCATATCGACGGTGTAAGTCGGCAATCACATATCTCGTTTGCGGTGTCTGACTATCTCCGCCTCTATGTTATTTTTTTAAAGGAGAAAAAATTGACACCGTTCCTTGAAGTTTTTGCAGAATTTTCTTCGCGCAGAGAAGAAAAATCACGGCAGTTTTAAAGAATTGCCGTTGAGCAGTTTCCGTTTAAAAAATGAAGTACGAGGTCTGTTAGATTAGAAACCGGATTTTGGTCATAACTAACCCACAATGCGTCCAAATTACGTTTTCTTGAGCTTTTCTGATAGCTGGAAATATACTTAAGAACGCTACGTTCATAAGTTTGAAAAATCTTAAAGAGCTTCGTTGGTATGTGGCTTGAAGTAAGGCAACCTCAAGGGTGTTTTGCGATTTTTAAGTTTCACCGAACTTGTCTCTCTTTTTTCGGTCTTGCACTACATTTTTCAACCCACAAGGACGATTGGAGTTTTGTCTCCATATCGTAGCCGTACACTAAAATTTTGTCACCGAAAATTATCCTATCCAAAAATGTAGGATCACTGTTAGAACGTTCAAGCAGCTAAAGGGAAATTGACATTTGGTTTGATTTTCGTTCAACGGACAACAATCAAGGGGCAAGTGTACCTGAAACTCGATGCGTGTCTACATATTCTATCAAAATTGTATATACAGAGCCTTCAGAAATATTACTCTGTTCAACAAGCTCGAAACGACCGTTTTCGAGCACTTTTGCCCGCATTTCTTCCACGTGACAAATGTCAGTTGCCGTTGAGGGTCGATTCCCATGCTCCTCATCTTTGACAAACTCCTGACCAGTTTTGAATCGTTTAACTCATTCAAAACAGTGGGAACATCCCATACAATGATCATAGTAAACTTTACTTAGCGTATACCAAAAGTTTTGGTACAAGGTATACCGAGTTTAAAACAAAATTCAATGTTGAATCTTTGTTCTATCAGTGATCGCATGATGAAAATCGGAAAACGCACCTGACTTACTCGTATTCAAGATGACACAGAATAAACACTGATCAAACTAAACAAAATCTGTGAACGTAGCGTTCTTAAGTATATTTTCAGCTATCAGAAGAGCTCAAGAAAACGTAATTTGGACGCATTGTGGGGTAGTTATGACCAAAATCCGGTTTCTAATCTAACAGACCTCGTATGACAGGAAGTCTTCGACGTCGCAAACCGAGATATGTGATTGCCGACTTACACCATCGATATGTTCTTTTTGCATCATTCAACTCTCACCAGTGACAGTTTTCCGCGATTCGGAACCAATTATCCCCCATGTTAATGTATGCACAACAATTGATTGCAATGAAGGCAGTATGCCTCACCTGGAATCAATTTTTCATGCCGGATATGAAGTGAGAAAAACAAGCGTTGCCAATTTGCAGGGATCGTCTATAGCTCTCCAGCCTAAACATTTCATCTCTTTTCATAATTCGTTCCGAGGGCGGCTGAATCCTTCAAATGCAGCTCCCACCCACGGTAAAGTTTTAATCAAGGACCTGTCCCCGTTTCTTATGAGGGTAGGGATTTTGAAATTTACGGCTTCATTGTTAAATCTGATGAAAATCTCACTCAGTCATGCGTTTTTTTCCCTGACAGAGTAGTAAATACGGCAACCCTGCAAGTGTACAATTAATCATACGGTAGACTGGCCGAGAGAAATGAATTCCCGCGGTTTTTCTACGACTCTCTCGGAGGTGAGTCGGAATGAGTTCTACCGTGCTAAGGAAAAACGCCGTGTGAACCTCCAGGCGTTGCCAAATACCATTTGATAAAATACGAATTTTCTCATAAACAAATGAATATTTTTCTTTCAATTTTTCATATAATTTTGTTCGCAATTTTATCTAAAGTTCCTGAAAACGTCAAGGAAAAATATTCATAACTTGCTTCAAAAATAAACTTTTTATCGAAGGAAATTTGGTGACTCTCGAATGTTCATACGGCGTTTTTCCTTAGCACGGCAAAGTTGGCGGAGAGGGTAGGAGGGTGGGGATGCCGCGAGCACACGCGACCGTGGTTGTAAAACGAGGGGTTTGGGATATTACTAATAGCCACGACCATATGAATTTGTCAGCTTCCCGGAAGGATGATTCCTGACCTTCCTCGGTTTCCTGGATGGGCCAGTAAGAAGGAGTACTACTCGTTAAGATGAGCTTGTGGTCGTATAATTGAAATTTCATCCGTAACGTATTCAAAGGAGCCGCCTTTAAATGCCGCCAGGCTTTTTTTCCATTTTGGACCCCTCCCTTTCTTCTTCAAAAGGTGTTGTTAGGCAGTCCTGAACTTTTTCCCTCCCCATTTGAGTGCTTGGAGTTTGATCGATAAATAAGGACTTCATTGAGTGAGTGGTCCATCCGTGGATTTGAAGAAGCGCTACTGATGCTCCTTAATTCTCACCTTATAGATTTTTGAGTATCATTCATTCCAAAATAGCAATGTCTTAGATAGAAGGTCAATAATCAAAGTCAACCTGCCCTTCCTCAGTGTCAAAAGTACGGTGAAAGCACCCCTTTCTTGTAGTCTCGGGATAGTCTCTAATTGTAATCTCAACTTGAGAGAGAACGTTTACAAAAACTTATAATAAGAAAAATTAAATTTACAAGTTAAAACCTTATTTCAAAATCGGTGACACCTCCGACAAAATAAGCCCGACCCTCTCCAAAAGGGAAATTTCTCATTCCTAACTTTTGTCTCCCATAAATAACCTCAATATATATACCTACTTAGGTATTTCTACGCATCTAATTCGGCTCTTGTAAGGGGTGGGGGTGTTAAATTACTCACTTTCCCTCTTTCCCCCTCCCTTTATATCCTATCAACTGCCCCGTCCTCCCTCTTGTCTCCTTCTTCCTTGTTCAGGGCTGGATTTACCAATAGGCTATAGCCTAGGGCGCAACATTTTGAGGGGTGCAACATTTTTGAGAATTTATTAAAAAACGAGACTTATTAAAAAATGTCTACGTTGCGGTTGACAAAGGTGTTTTTAGGGGTGAATTTGAACATTTTCCAGACACCTAACATCCTCCTTCTGATCTGAAGGGGAGGGGCGTCTGGGGGGACCCCCCCCCCCCACGAGAGCGCCTACTTTTGGGGCGCCACCCTAAGTTTAGCCTAGGGTGCTAAAAATGTAAATCCGGCCCTGCCCTTGTTTACTTAATGTTAAGGAGAGAACTTACGCAGGGTCGGGTTCGCTGTGAAAGTCGGCGCAGATGTTGGGGCTGAGCCGGCGGGCGGGGAAGCAGCGGAAGTGGACGTGGTGGGAGGCGTGGTGGTGATGGTGGTGGTGGGAGTGGAGGTGCCCGAGGCGGGTGGGCGAGGAGGCGATCCCGCGCATAGAGGTCATGTTCTCGCGGTTGAGGCCGAGCGGGGCCCCCCCGCAGCCGATCACCGCCGTCCGGTGGTCCGCCCCCATGGAGCCCGTGCACGACGAGATGTACTGGAGCACCGACGACCGGAAGTGGGGGTGCGAGAGGCTGTACACGATCGGGTTGTACACCACCGAGGCCTGCAACACACACACGAATATCAATTGGAGTTCCTTCGATGGAGAGAACGGAGGCGTGTAGAAAAAGGAGAGGAAGAGGAAGGAGAGGAGGAGGAAGGAGAAGAATAAGAAGAAGAATATGAAAAGGAAAAAGAAGAAAAAGAAGAGGAATAGGAAGAATAGGAGGAAGAAGAATAGGAGGAGGAAGAAGAGGAAAGGAGAAGGAGGAAGAAGAGGAGGAAAGGAGAAGGAGGAGGAAGAGAGGGAAGAAGAAGAGGAGGAGGAAGAAGAGGAAAGGAGAAGGAGGAGGGAAGGAGGAATAAGAAGAGGAAGAAGAAGAGGATGAAGGAGAAGAATATGAAAAGGAAAAAGAAAGCGCTAGTCGAAAAACTTACGAAGTCCTAGTATCGGCATTCAATGACGTTCAGCGTGATTTTTGAACTTCATTAGAGGGAGAAGTGATTTGATTCAAGCAGAAATATGCTCAAAATTATTACCGAGAATATTTCCTTGTGAATCAATAAAGAAACTAATACTTGTCTAAAGGAGAAAAGATGCTGATGAGATAGAATAGATGATGAGAAAAAAGATATGAAAAGCTTATACGAAAAGAAAAGTCACATCAAGCAAAACCGCGCTTTCATTCAACTATTTTATTCTTGATGTAAAATAAAATCTTTTTGACGGCATACTCAAGAATGTTTCTGCACAAATCGAGTCTCTTTTTTCTCTGATGAAATTCAAAAATTATTCTAAACGTTATTAAATACAGATGGTAGGACTTAGTGAGTTTTTAGCCTACCGCTCTTCTTTTGTGCCGTAGTAGTGTACCACTAAGCAGCAAGGACCTCCTCATATGCAGTAGAGCAAAACTGCTAAAAATTGTTAAAAATGATGAAAATAGGCAATTTAGATAATTTTTGATGATAAATTATAAGTGTAACAGTTACATATACTCCTTCCTGCTACATTCATAAGCAAATGTTGAATGTAATACCGAAATTTTCATTTTTTATGTGTTTTTTTACCCGAGAAACTGAGGAGCGTGAAGGTTTTTCTTCAAATTTTGACTCCAGAATACCTAAGTAAAAATATTTTGATAGTTTTTACTCATCTAGAACTTCATTTGATACTTTTACTTTCATATTTTACCAGAAATTTGTGAGAAAATTAATTTTTTTTTTAATTTAGCACCAATTATGCTGTTTGCTGACCCCGAAAAACTAGATTTTTTGATAAAATCTGGGTTCAAATGCATGAAATTTTTTAATTTTTTTTTCAAAATTGGAGTAGTTTCATAGTAAAAGCATGCTGACATGTCCATACATCATGTTTTGTCAAATTCAATAAGTTTTACCAAGTCAAAACCCACCTTTCTTACCCCTCAAAACTGCTAGAAATAGGTAATTTCTTGAGATATCGATAAAAATTAGATCTTGGTTAGAATAATTTCCAAATTGTTGAACTCTTTCCTAATTCTGCTTGACGCTTGTACAGACCTTACTAAGATGTTGCTATTAGCCCCCCTCCCCCCTCTTTCCTCCTCCTACCCCCAGAAAATGATAAAGAAAACAAGTTGTGTTTGACGTTATGTTGCTTACATGAGCCCCTGCTGCTTAGTGGGCCATATATGTACCACCAGAAATTCTCGGTTTTGAAAAAAACAAAAAAATTTCAAATTTTTGTAACTGATAAAAATTGAAAGCCTGCATCATAAGGAACCAGAAAATGTAAAATTTACTCATCAAAAGTTATTTGAACGGCGTGAAACAACCAAAACCCCGAGCGCTGACCAGCTGACCGTTTTAACCTCATTTTCATGTAGACAAACTAACAAAAATAGGACTAGCCATTCGATTTGAGTGAAACAAAAAATCACCGCTAGAGAGAAGCACTTACTGGACCTATACAAGTCGGCACCGCCTTGTTGCCACGTTTCGGATCCGCCAAAAAAATTATTTAATGGGTGGTACAACAATTGTACCACTATGCAAGAAAGGGTTAAAGCGGGTCCATATTGTATGCTTTGGAAAAAAAACACATTGGATCTAGAGTTCAGACTCTTAAAAACATCGACAAGAGAAAGTACTCTTGATTCGATAAGAACCTAGCTTAAATCAAGAACCAAGCCTCTTAATTTAAGCGGATTTCGTTTTGATTCAAGCAAAAATCCGATTGAATCGATAGTACTTTTTCTTGTCAATGTTTTCAAGAGTCTGGACTGTAGATCCAATGTGTTTTTTTTTTTCCAGTGTACTTTTGTTGGTGAGCCAGAAATAGTAGTTGTAAAATGTATTCCAAATAGCAACGTTGCGTGGTTTGATATTACTATTTTTTTTTTTTTTTTTTTCCATTTTCCAGTTGGAAGGTTTCGATCTTTTTATAGAGTGTTAAGCCGACTGACCTTGGCGAAGAGGGCCGGGAGTGCGGAGACCCAGGGAGTGATGAGTAGCGGGTTGCCGAACTGTCCGATAAGGGTGACGACGGCGTAGGGCGTCCACGCGACGAGGAAGAGCACGACCAGCATCAAGATGATCTCCGCCGTCTTCACCGTCGAGCGGGCCGGAGTGTGCGGAACCGGGATCCGCGACGACAACGAGTAGCCTCCGCCACCTACCGGGGAAAGTCAAAACTAAAGATAGAAAAAACAACTTAATCGGCCCGAAACATTAACAGAGAAACAACTTGAAACGGGACTAAGGCCGCAAATAATTAAGAGAAACGCGAGGAAAGCTCCGTACTCTGAGATGCCTTTCATTCTTAATATTTTGGATCGCGCTCAATTGCTTATGATGCTGTGCAACATCTCTGTTGCGGGATAGTTGTGGGAAGCGCCGTGGAGCGCGACCAGCGCGGTACGCGCGATGGCGCCTTCAAACCTAAGTGGGATACTTCACGCATTGCGGTACGCGCGATGGCGCCTTCAAACCTAACTGGGATACTTCACGCATTGCGCAATGCGTGAAGTAGCCCTGTTAGGTTTGTAGGCGCCAAGGCGCGTGTTGCACTGGCATGGCAGTCCGCTCCGCTCTGTGTTAGGCTCTATTAGGCTCTAATCGGCCCGAAACATTGACAGAGAAACAACTTAAAACGGGACTAAGGCCACAAATAATTGAAAGAAACACATAAAATAAAATGAGGAACCCGGGACGTTTCGCATGGACCACACCCGCATTTTCAACCGGCAAAACGAGAAAAATTAAAAGAAAGTACACTATGAGCCTCACGGTTGTTATTGTGAGACTCACAATAACAGTGCACGACCTAACATTAAAATTACTAACGACGTGTCTGTACTCTCCCTATATAGCTACACTCCAGACTTCACACATATCATTGGAGTTTTTCGGGGGCAACATGGACTCCGAACTTCACTCCGAGATTTCCATGGAGTATACGTAGAATCGTAATTTAAATGGGAGAGCTGGCGCAATGTCCTGATCCACGAAGTTCCGAGTCCGGTGTAAGCCGAGCTTCGGTCACTTTCCGAATCAATTTTCGATTCAGAATGGTGACGTAGAATGCGTAGTAATTCCTATCTTCGTTGTTTACATTCGATGACCGGGTCCCCGTGTATCGAAAACAATCGAATATGTACCGAAATCGTGACCCGGCGTAACACAGGAGTCTCGGCATCGGGACCTGAAAAATGCTTAAAAGTGGTGCCAGCTCTTCCATTTGGACGTATTTCTACCAAACAGACCTATGTGGCGATGAGAAATGTGGGGTGTGCTCGTGGGAGCTGCATAAGAAGCAATGTAAAAGTGGGCGTGGTTCCTTTTGAAGAATTGGCAAAGCGGGATATTGCATTCTATCAAAGAGACCTATGTGCAACTGAATGCGGAACTCATGAGCCGCGGGCATGGCAAGAGAGCCTTGTGGACAGGGCTCATGAGTTAATGAGCACGAGGAACGTGACGCGGCGTCCTCCTCCGTTGACGTCACTGGCGCACAATTATTCTCATTCACTCGCCACGCAAAGAGACTAACGAGCACACCCCATACTTCTCACTTCCACATAGGTCTCTTTGGTAGAACTACGTCCATTTACATCACGACTCTGTACTCTATGAAGATTTCCAACACTGTAGGTAGCTAGTATGGATATTCGGCCAGCTGATTTCAACCAAAAAACCAACATTTCCGACCGCGGTCTGGCCAATTGTCCCTCCTCTGACATAAGGGCTTATCTTGATTTCTATACGAGCCCTATTTTACATGTAAGTCCATGCTTTCTGAGGTTCATGCGGATATCGAGATACATCCTCACGCCAGAAGACCGAAGCGCGTCGTTTCTCTGAAGTAAGGGCATATCTTGATTTCCATATGAGCCCTGTTTTACATGTAAGTCCATGCTTCCTGGGGCTCATGCGGGTATCGAGATACGCCCTTACGCCAGAGGCCCGACGAAATTAGCCAGCGGTGGCGGTCCAAAATTTATCGGGCCGACCTAGGACGCAGGGAGCGCGCCGATTGTTTATTCCTAATTTGCATTGAGTGCTCTGATCCGCGCTCCGCTAAGTGCATAAATGCATGATCGATTCCCGGAAAAGTTGCCGGGTTACAGGTCGGAGGACGAGGCCGCATTTCACACCGGTTTCGCCGGGACAAAATAAGCAACCCCGATTCCCGCGCAAACCCAATTATGCACCCTGGGCGCAAATAGTGGGGCTCATATTTAATTTACACTGCAACATGCGTCAGTGGGATTGTCCCGCAAGTTTTCGGCCCGATGAAATACGGGAATGAGCTACGCCGACACGAAAACCATTATTGATGAGCGGGCTGCATTAGCCAAACGAGATCCGGCTAAAGCCGTCTTCAAACGATCAGAATGAGGTGTTCGAAATGGATAATCGATGAGTCGTTGGTGGAGTGCCTACATCTACCGTGATGGCGAAGAGAGCAGCGAGTGCGTTTCTGCATGAGCGATGGTTGGCACATGCTTTGATATGTGTCGCAGGCAATTGGCAATCGCCGGCAATTTACAAGCCAGTGGTGAATAATTATAGAAAATCATAGAATTCAAAAAGAAAGGAACAAGATTAGAGTGCTGATGATGTTGCCTATAACGTAAATAGACACTTTTCCAACAGAAAATTAGCTGAACAGAGTAAGTACCCACCTGTGGCTTTGATGTTGGCCATCTCCTTGCCGTGCGCGAGGATGGTGATGAGAATGAAGGTGTAGCAGTAGGTGATGATTGAGACGGGGATAACAAAGCCGAAGAAAAGGAGGTAGACGTAGTAAGCCCGGTTGGCTGGCGTCCTGGTCATGTAGTCCCACGAACAAGAGGTCAGGAACCCCTCCAGGATGTACCGCGACCAGCCGAATAGCGGTGGCAGAGTCATCAGCAGACAGTAGATCCACGCCATCACGCATACCTGCGAAACAAAAAAACTTTCTGCATTAAACCCCATGTTACTGACAGAATTACGTTGATGAATGAGTTAAATCACATTTTTAAAAATAATTCTTAGTCTATTACATACAGTCCTAGTCTATTACAGTCTGAAGTATTCTTACATATGGATGTGAAGTTTGGTAGCTGAAGGAACAGACACAGGGGATGCTAAGAGCAATGGAGATGGATTTCCGGAGGAGGTTGGCATGAATGTTTATAGAAGAGATCCGCAATGAAAGTGTACGTCAGATCATGGAAGTCGAAAATGACGTAGTATTCGACGTCATGACCAGACAGCTTGTATAGTAAGTACCTCGGAGCGAGTTTTAAACGACAAAACAAAAAAATATACCTACACTAAATTAATATCCGGGAGGAAATCGTTTTATAATGCGCGATTCGGGGGTGCTAGAACCTGCAAAAATGTGCCCAACGCACGACGCACGTTGAGCTAAAATTAGGAACTGGGTATTAAAAGATACCTCCGTCGTCGCGTCGGAAGCTTCATATTTGAACGTATCAAAGTGATACTTGTTTCTAAAAGCGAACAATTCAAACGCAATATGAACCCTTGGCGGCACGCGCATAAAATGAAAGTGACAGTGGGCGCCTTGGACATTATTTAGACGCGAGCAGTTGCCAAATGGCGAGAAGAAATCAACTGCATGAAACCTGCAAAAGGGGTTTTGAAGTTTTGCCAGCTTGACTATATATCATTGTCGATAATCGAAAAATGCGTACCTCTATTACAACGTTTCAAAATCTTTGGCCTTGTTCTTTTTTTGGAGGGAAAATTGAACAAAATACCTGATTGAGATTCCCTGTGAATATTTTTGAAAAAGTGAGGAGAGCTCGCAGAAAATTGCAAGAAAAACTACTTGTTGATGTGCTTTTAAGAAAATAAAACATGATAACATATTTACATCGTTCCACTCGGAGGCACTCATTTTCGAACTTTAGCTATCCATATTTACTTTTCCTGCCAAAAACTTTGGTTTATTTTTGTCCTGATATTACTCCAGAACAGCCTTTGCAAATCTTGTAAAACTCAGACTCTTACAAGCATTCAACTTTGAATTATAAGGGAGTTCACCTAGCTGCAGAAACAGTCGAAGCATCTTTGCATAGAGACATAATTAAAATGTGAGTCGCGAAATAAAAAAAAAAAAACTTTGGCTCATATCGGACACTAAAGGTTTCGTTCCAGGTAACCGAAGTTTTCGGTGATGGGAACCGAACTTTGGTTCAATTAACCGAATCTTTCGCTCACCTTGCTGAATTTTGTATTCTTCACCACAGACGCATACATTTACTTTATAACAGTCCTTCAGGTTTTTGGCAGATTTTTTCAGTTCACCAGGATTGAAAATATCGGGGTTCCATGACATTTTTCAAAAAAATACGTTTTCCGTAACCGAAGTTCCTTTCTTTGTTAAAACTCGAGTGTTAAAGAAATGACTTTCAGGCAAAGTCGCTAATCGTGGCAATCATAATATTAAATTCACACCCATTTCTAGAGAATTTGACTAGTTGAGATTACTAAACCTTCCATGATACTAAATTAAACAACTATTCTAGGTTTACTCTAAACGCGCACTCTCTTGCTCTTACTCTTAGACCTTTGAATTTAATTTTAGACAAATGTCATTGGCACAAAATTGCTCATTTTTCTTGCAGCGTTGCTCACAGCAAATAGGTTACATCATAATTTTCAGCACTTGATCCAATTTTGTTAAAATCTCTGCTGTTACCAAGGATCAACATAGATATGCAGCTCCTGACGTAAACTTCTGATGCAACTAAACTTGCTCTGTAGCTGCCCGTATTGCATGCAGATACATTGAAGGCACTTTCAATTTACGCGTTTGTGTCTATCCGTCGCCGTACGCCACTCACGTACTGTTCGTTGAAACTGTAGTCCATTTATACTGAGAGTCAAGGCAACACCCCCTCATGGAGTCACAAACGGGGGAAAAAAATACACAAATTGAAAGTATTTCGTAATCTTTGATCGGCCCATTCTCAAATTCCTTTCTCCGTTCCTTCTCTTATTCCGCGTTTGTTCCTCGCCGAACCTGTAATTCCCGGTCCATTTCAGATTATAATCTCTGCAATTGGTGAAAAGTAAGCTTTATTCCCGTTTGTGACACTGTGGAGGCCTAAAATGCGGGAACCTATCAGAAATGGATCCACATTGTCTTGACTCTGGGTATAAAGGGACTCTAGTTGAAACTCAGTGGACGAATGTTTTCCCGAGTTTGCCCTACAGTTATTGAGACAATCTACCGACCCTGTAAAACAGTAAACAGCGCCGAAAAAGAGTGATAAACATCTCTGGACTCCCATCTGAAAAGTTCCTTGAGGGAAAAATGAGGCCTTTTCATTTTATTGTCGAGAACGAACGAGGCGTTGAATGCGCATTCAAATGATTCGGGCCGAGTTTAACGCGCTTCGGACGGATTGTGACGAAACTGGAGAGGAAAATCGGAGATTGCGGAGGAGGACGCATTCCTAAATTTGAGCAAGCAAAACGAGCTCGATTTTTCAGGTGACATTGCCTTGAAAAGGGCACCGATTCGGACAACAATAATTACTGAGTCATTGATTCTTTTTGTGATCCCCAGTAGCAGAACCATAGAAGGAAAAGATAAAGATTATGTACGAAAGTTAATTTTTTTATAAAACGCATGCATACGAAAGCGTTAAAAGTGAACATTTGTATGTAACCATTATATTAAAAAGGCATAATTTTTGTGAGCTTTTCGCAAAAATATTGAAACATCCTCTAATTCGCGGAAAACACACGAAAATTATGACCTATTTATATATAATAGTTACATGAAAATGTTCACTTTTAACACTTTCGTAAGCATGCGTTATACAAAAAAATAAAAAAAATTACCTTATCTAACTTTTATCATTATTCATATATTACGGTCAGGTCTGAACTCTGATTTTTTTTATATAAGCGTTACACGTTTTTTTTTACATAAAACTGCCATTTAGATGACACATATATATATTTTTTTTTTTTTTTTTTTTTTTTTTTTTTTTTTTTTTTAGAAAAACAAACATTTGGTCTGCTACTAGGGATGTTGTAGAATGATGCAATGCGCTTCTTAAAGTATGATTTTTGCGAAAGTGGGTATGGAAAGTGAAAATCGCGTGACACGCATCTCGACTTGCGACGTTCCTACAGTTTATTCGGACAACATTCTGCGATTAGAAAGTATTATTCCTCGTGATTCATCCATAAAATCATTTATGTGCATGGAGAAAAGGAAGAGGCCTCCGGATCTGTAATAAAAGACCTTATCTTCCAAAAATTCAAATTTGACTTATTGGTAACATTCCATTGAGTGAGAACATTTTACCCCGAAAGTTCAAAAATTGAGGAAGATGTGACGTCCTGAAGTTCCAAAACAAAAGTTATTCTCAAAATTTCGCTCAAGGATTTTGTGCAATTCTCGTCATCTATCAAAGTGATTAAATCATCATCTATTACCTTTGATTACGTCCTTTTCTAGGCATTTAAATAAAGGATAACGTTTGAGAGCGTGGAATGTTATTATCATGCTTCCCACAACGTGAAAGTTCAACTTTAGCGTAAAAGAACGAAAGATCTATTATACGCGGAAGTTGACAGTAAAAGACTATGTATGGTATGTAACTGGTCTATTTACGTGGAATACCAATTGAGTCGTCATTTCGTGAAGCGTTCTGTCACAGATGTTCGCGTGCAATGCGATGGCGTTGTTTTGGCATAATAGTCGAATATTCACTATTCAATTCAAGTAATTATAAGACTGATTTAGCAACCGTGGATAGGAAAACATACCGATTTCCGGGAAAAGTTACTTGCTGGCTTAGGCCCCTGAGCAACTGAGGGATACAGTGGGAAAAACTAACACTTTTGCAGCAATTCCATTGTTGACAAATTTTCATTTTTTAAGATGCGCTTTCAATGGTTACGCTTCCGTTTTCATTTTTTTACATATTGCGCACGCAAACAAAATCAAAAGGCTGGAAGCTGAAATTCCACTCCAGCAAAACTACGTCTAGTTTCTGCCTGAGCGGTGACCTAATTTGAACATCATTCAATGCAGAGTAACCAATCACCTCAAAATGATTACGTGTGCTTTTGCGTTGTTCACTCAAACGAGATTTCATCCTCAACTTCCACCTTAAACCGGGCGGAAGGTAGGTCAAGCTATGCGAATCTGCACTGTTAACTGAAACATAGGTTATATTAATCGTTACGTCATTGTAGGGGTCTTCCGATGTCTCAAATTAGATACCAACAGTAGAAATGACGTGACCTCTCTCCATGATATCTATGGGAAAGAATAGATAGGGAGCTTGGAGGACAAGCACGGCAGTAATAGCGTCTGAATGAGGCACACACTCGACCGGCCGTGATCGCTCCCTGCGGGTCGATTGTTGAATCGTTATCGAATGACCTTGATCGATATATTGCATTGTGAAGATAGGAATTTATCGATCGAGATCATTCGATAACGATTCAACAGTCGACCTGCAGGATTTAATTATTCGATCCAGAAATTATTCCCGGAGAAACCGCGTTGGATCCCTCCATGATCCCAAGCAGTCCCCGCTCCAAAATATTTTCACAAGGAATTCGTTTACGAACCCATTCGCCGCAGAGTGTAGGCTGAAGCCAAACATCTTTCGTATAGTGCTCACATTTGAAAGGAAATTCAACGGAAATGTTTCTTCGAACAGCGATCTTTGCGTGTGGAAAATGTTTTTAGAGAAAACTTTGACTTCAAGTATTTGGCGTTGTCGCGCAGTGAATAAATCCTCTAGGTACATCAACCCGACTTCACTTCATATTGTCGTTTCTTAGACGCAGAAATGAAACTGTTAGGTAATCAACGTTGCTATTTATTACCTATTCTACCCGCAAAATATGTCGTCAGTAGTGTTGAGCATTTCGAGGCGAATATAATATTGATTTTTCTTCCGGTCACACGCAAAAATATGTAAATTTGACGAATGAAAACGTGTTTTTCTAAAAAATCGGATTGTTCAAGTCAATTTCACAACGATGGCAGAGAATTACATTCCTTCGCCTGAGAACCAACAACTTGGTCCACCAAAATATTTTGCGCACTACCGCAACGGAAAAACAATTTCTTATTTTAGCAAACTCATTTATTATAGGAATGAAGAAAAAGATTGCGTCGTAGACGATGAACGATAGAAGATGTTCAAAAATATAGAGTGAAATACTTATGAAGTGAACTTATTACACAGTAAAAAGCGATTTTGCCACGGCAGTCTCATATTTAAGGGGAAAACACATGCAAACTCTAAAATTATAGACAAAAGAGAAATTATACATGGTTGCAAAACCTACATTTTCCATTGTTTTAAAAAATTCTTAGTGCACTTACCGATCAAACTCTTTTGAAACGGTGTTCGTAAGACTAGAATCCCTTTATGCTAAGAGTTCAGGTATTTAGATTCCATTTCTAATTGGTTCCCGTATTTAAGTTTCCATAATACCATGCGAACCATCCCTAAGATTACATTATCACTAGTTACAAAGATTATAAACCGGAAGAGACCATGCAAGGGGCTGAGGGTACTGCCATGCTATAAGGAAGAACGCCATATGAACATTCGAGAGTTGCCAAAATTCTGCGGATAAAACATGTATTTTTGAGAAAAGTCATGCATAATATTTTTTCGTGAAGTTTTCGGATATGTATGTTTAAATTGCGAACAGAATTATCTGAAACATTGGATAAAGAAGTATTCAAAATTTTTCCAGTATATTCGGTTTTTAGTAAAAGAAATCTGGCAACGTATAAAGGCTAATACGGCGTTGTTCCTTAGCACGGCAGATCAGGAAACAAACGTGATACGGGGAAGGAATGGAATTTGGGAATGTACTGATCAAAGATGACGAAAAACGTCTCAGACTGAAACAAGCAGTTCCAACGCCAAAGCGTTGGAGGGCGCTTCTTTAACACTGCGCATGCGAGGAACGTTTTCATACGGCCAAGCGAGAGTATTGCGGACGGACGATGTATAACAAATTGCCTACGTGAAGGTGGTCCGGCAGCAACATACCCGCCGCT